GGGAGGGCAAGTCCAGGCTACAGCTACGCTCCATGTGAATTCTCGAAGTCCAGTGTGAAATTTACAAATCGTTTTGTGAGGTCAACGATGTAGCATGTGAATTCGAGAAAACGTTTCGTAAATTTTACAAAAGTAAATAGCTTCGAAGCAGATTTGTTGCTTAAAGAAATTCCTTCGGAGTTTTCTCCGTCGTACTCATGAATACGATTTTCGGTGTAAAGTGGAAAGTTGATTGAAAGTAGCGTGAACTTACGGAGGCGCCGAAGGTGACAAAGATGTGCGGGATATTGCCATCGAAGTGGGTGCCCTCGAGCTCCATGCACGGCGAGCGGAGTGACTTTCGGATCAGTTTCAGAGTTTCCTCTGTGTTGCCTGCAACAATGCCCATTCAAACATTAGTTATAACAATCATAGGAATCGGACTTGTCAACCGTATAATTGGACCGCGTTTAGCAAAAAGGAACCGAGCCACATCGGCTCCTGCCAAAATTAACTGGGCACTTTAATTTTTTACAAGAGAATGTATATGCTGCTGAGTTTTTAAAGGTATAAAGAATTTGCTTCAAACAATGCAGAAAATTCAATGAAATTTGCGCTAGAATCCGCACAACTGTTTTCATGTGAAACATTAGATTTCCCAATTAAATGTGGCAATAGCTGATGTGGCTTGGTTCCTTTCTGCTTAACGCGGTCCACTTTTGCCGTGCTGCGGGAAAAACTCTGTACAAAAAATTCGAGCGTTGACAAATTCCCGTAGATAAAAAACTAATTCTTGAGGAGCTGAGAGTATTTCTCCTTAAAATTTCTATAAATTTGATCAAAAAGCGAGAAATATTCTCATGGAAAGAAGGTCAAATATTTAAGAGCTACCAGGGAAATTTGTATTTTATCAAGGGAAATTCAGCTACGTCCGAGATGTAAAGTGTTCTCCCTAGGCAAAATACGAGTAAGTACTCACACGCGGCATGTTGCTTGCGAGTAAATTAGAGGAACTTAAATAATTAGAGTTGAACGAAAGAGCGCAACCCGTGAGACAAAAACGCAGGCTTATATCTTCACTGCGCCTTCATTTTGCGAGAAAACTGCAAAACACCCTGCATGCAATCATAATTGCCTACTTAAAGAAGTAGGCGACGCTACCTATCAATAAAGTCCCAAGCGGTCGGTCCGCCCTGAATTCCGTAGATTTTCCAGAGCTGCAGGCTCCTTCCTTTTTACGTCTGAAGTGAAAGCAATAACCCCGGGTACTAGGTGGACCGCGTTAAGCAGAAAGGAACCAAGGCACATCAGCAATTGCCAAGTTCAATTGGGAAATTGCATTGTTTCCATGAAAACGATTGTGCCGAATTGAGCACAAGATACAGTGAATTTTTTGCATCGCACGAAGCAAATTCTCCAACATTTTCAAAGAAATCCACATGAGCGTTCTTTTGTAAAAAATTAAATTGCCAAGTTAAACTTGGCAAAAGCTGATGTGGCTTGATTCCTTTCTGCTAAATGCGGTATAGTTCGACTAAATTTTGCAACTAAGAGCCCTTAATCTTGGCTCATTTCAGAAATAACGCACGTACCGTCAGTTTATTCTATGCAGATAGGCGTTATTAGATATGAGCTGGACGATGTGAATACAATAAACTTCGTATCAATACATCATCACTGAACTTGTAAAAAAAAATGTTATTTTCCTCGTTCAAAAATCGTACCTTACTCGACTTTCTCTTGAGAGGTGAAAAAAAGCGTTAGCAAGTTTGTGACCGTACAAAAAAAGCACTCAGAATATTAACACTTGAAACTTTAACTTAAGAAGAGGAGTGGCATAAGATATGAATTACTCGATTGCGAACTTATGGCCTTTCCTTTCTATACACTTCTTGGACCGCTCGGTTCAAACAAACTGAGCCTGTGCGCTCAAAAGACCGACTTGAAAAAAGCGAAGGGAAGGAAAAAGTGGATTTACAGAACGTAAGCACTGAAAAATGTGTTGGAAAGACACATTCTTCAAAAAGCGTAGGTACGTCAAGGGCAATATTAAGACGTCAATGAGAAAAGGAATTTCAGTTCCCGGCGGTAAATTTTCCGAGACATATAGGTTTATGATTTTCCGGAGAGAAGAAAATGACGCATGATACCTATCCTCCTGGTTCTTATCTGTTTTTGGCACCACGCAAAAAATGTAATCGAACTAACGATTCAGAGCTCTAATAGGTACGGCTGATAGCGATCACTTTCATTCACATTTCGATACAAAATATTTCATGCGATTGAGATTGATTTAATTAAAGGCAATCAATTGATGTTGAAATGCACATGGACTTTTTTCAGCCAAATATTTGAAAGATTTTCGTTTTTTCGGTCAGTATTACACTACATAATGAAATTGCATTTGATTTAATGAAGAATAAAGATAAATTTGCTGAATCTGAGTTCTTTAGATCCGCATTTTTAACTATAGTGATCCATCGCACTTGCACATTCTCTTTACGGGGGTTTTGAGGGTAAATCAGGGTAATTTTGTTTCAAATATCGAGGGTTCATAAGCATTTGCAATCAAACTTCCGCTCTTAATAAAGTCCCTTACTGCGCCCTGAGCTTTGAACGTATACTCGGTTACATAATCAGCGTATTGAAGGGAATCTATTCAACACCATTGACAATGCACATCTAGGAACAAAACTTAGGTTACAGAAACGGAACTCCAGTTTAAATTGAACACCGCATTTCTTCGGTTCAGGTAACCGAAGTTTTCGGTCATAGGAACCGAATTTCGTTAAGCAGAACCGAAGTTCGTTCCTACACCGAAAACTTCGGTGTTCAATATGAACTGAACTTTTTTTCTCCGTGCGTACATGACTAATTCGTTGTTGTAAACTTCCTTTCTTGGAAAAAGTTGCATCAAGTTTTAGCGTCATGTAATTAATTCAATATATTTTCAAAAAGCAATAAAAGCGGATAGTCATGAATGGGAGGCACTACACCCCCCCCCCCCGACAATCTTTATAATTGAGTGGAAAAAACTGGTAGCGAACATTTTTTGTAGACCTATTAATGAAACAAGCGGTTTGATGAGAAGCAGGAGAAGAGAAAAGACTTTCAAAAAAATTACTCGGGTCTAAAAGACACGCATGTGTCAGACTAGAGTTGAGACGTAATGTATCAAGATAGAGAGAAATGCTGAAGAGAAAGAAAAGGAAGAACGCAGGGTGTCTACTAAAACAAGCTGGCCAAAAATCAGTACTTTTACAGTGCTTTTTCAGTACATTCCCAAGAAATTCAGTGCCTCCTCCATAGGAAAATTTAGTGCTTTTTCAGTACCTACCTCCCAATTGACGAAAATCGAAAAATTCCAAAATTTTAAATTTCTCGCCCAAGTTGCGACAAAAATGACAAAAATTCCGGACCTGCTGCGGAATATCCGCACTTTTCCAGTACTTCCGGACCTCCCTTAAGAAATCAGTACTATTCCCGGACTTTTCGGAAATTCCGGACTTGTAGACACCCTGGAGAAGAAGAAGAAAAACACGAAACGCGACAAAACCACACTTTTCGCCCGAACTTTTCACCTCACACACCGCCGAGCTTTGCCGAAATGCCACGCTCGCCAAAAGTCCCGATTGATGTCTTGCGCAAAAAACCGGTTGAATTCGCATGTGTAAATTTCTAATGGTAATTAAGCATCGGAGTGCGGTAGTCTTTTCCTTAAGCTCGCCCCGACTGGTTTCTTTCGAAGCATTCTCCACGGCTAAGCGGGCATCGTAAAGTCATTCGGTGCTATCTGAAAGTTTCCCAAAATCAAACGCCCGGGTTGTCATACTGTGGGGTTTTATTCAACTGAACTCCGGAAGAAACGGGTTTATTTTCCGGAAATGTGGCGGCTGCGGATGAGGCCTAAGGGCTCAGTTTATGATCAGTATGGAGTTAAAACAAGGTGTTAACGATCAAGTGTACTTATCCGATTAGAGATGTAATTAGGCTGTATAACTTGTCGCTTGAAGATATGATAGGAGGCCTTTTATTTGACCCCCAACCACCCCCCTGCCAGCGATTGTATTAATCGCTGGAAAATTATTAGGGTGCAAATAATCGCGTGATCATTTGTTTTCATAAAGATGCATAGCTGAAAAGTGCAATATCGGCCAATCCTCATCAGGAGAAAGAACGTAACTAAAAACATCTCAACTGGGCAAGATTTCAATGGGCAGCTTTCATTTTAACTAGAAGACTGTTTAGAAGCGTCAGACTGCTTTCACTGCCATTTTTCTGCCGTCAACTTGCATAAATCAACCCAATTCTTGATTGAACATGGACGGTATTACTCATGAACAAAATTGAACCGTTTGGGTCCATTTTTAAACCTTGGAATAATAGAGCTACGTTCTCTCGTCGTGAAAGCGGCGGAAAACGATGTTTTCATGTTGACGCAACGTGGTTTTCAGCGGATATAATTTCGACATCGAAATTTTTATCGATGGTGAAACTGCAGAAACACGTACCTCGGTGTTCGGCGTTGCAGACTTCCTGTTCTCATTTATTTTCTACATGAAAAACTACTCGACACTATTTTTCGAAAATTTCAGTGAGTTTTCCTCTTTTCATAGGGAATATACTGTTGAAACTTCAAGTCATCATGTTGGTTCGGTCTCCTTTTGAAAAATCGTCGTTTCCTAGACGAAGGAACGTAACTACAAATGAATGTTGCCAAATTTCCCTTCGTAAATTGCATTTTAACCAGAAAAATCTTGGGCATTTCTAACTGAAAATTTCACTGATTTTTCTTCAGATATCATGCAAAAATCAGACAAATTTGGATAAAAATTGCACACTTACATTTTTGTAAAATATATTAATTGTTGGAGTCAATTTGGCAACCTTGGATTGGAGTTACGTTCCTTCGTGCGGGAGACGACGAAATGAGACAGTAGCGGAGATTTCCAAACGCCGCAACCGAGATACGCATTTTTGCCGTTCCGCCGTGCTGAGGAGGAACGTCGTATGAACATTCAAGAGTTGCCAAATTTTCTTCGCGAATATGTTCATTTTTCGGGAAAGTTATGGATATTTTTCCGTGAAATTTTCGGGGAATTTAGGTGAAATTGCGAACGAAATTATCCGAAAAATTGGAAGGAAAATATTCATATGTTTACCAGGAAATTCGTGTTTCATCAAAGGAAATTTTGCAACACCTGAAGGTTCATACGACGTTCTTCCTTAGCGCGGTATATAGTTTTGCAAAAGCAAAACCGCAGGCTCGATGACGGGAGTCGGGAGGCGTGAAACGCACATTAGCGCCTGCGATACTGTATGGATACTTCACGCATTGCGCCAAATACAGTGCGCACGCAGTTCGCATTTTTGCAGTTCTGCCGTGCTAACGAAGGACGCCGGTATGAACATTCGAGAGTTGCCAAATTTCCTTCGATAATGTTTCTTTTTGAGGAAAGTTATGAATATTTTTCCGTGAAATTTTCGGGGAATTTAGGTGAAATTGCGAACGAAATCATCCGAAAAATTGGAAGGAAAATATTCATAAGTTTACTAGGAAATTCGTGTTTCATCGAAGGAAATCTTGCAACACCTGAAGGTTCATACGACGTTCTTCCTTAGCGCGGTATATAGTTTTGCAAAAGCAAAACCGCAGGCTCGATGACGGGAGTCGGGAGGCGTGAAACGCACATTAGCGCCTGCGATACTGTATGGATACTTCACGCATTGCGCCAAATACAGTGCGCACGCAGTTCGCATTTTTGCAGTTCTGCCGTGCTAGGGAAGGACGCCGGTATGAACATTCTAGAGTTGCCAAATTTCCTTCGATAATATGTTTATTTTCGAGGAAAGTTATGAATATTTTTCCGTGAAATTTTCGGGGAATTTAGGTGAAATTGCGAACGAAATCATCCGAAAAATTGGAAGGAAAATATTCATATGTTTACCAGGAAATTCGTGTTTTACCAAAGGAAATTCGGCAAAGCTTGAAGGTTCATACGGCGTTTTTCCTTACCACGGCTGAGTTTTACTTAGGTAGATTTTGATGGACGAAAAAACGTAGCCCTCAATTTTGATACCATGCTTCGTAACTCTTCCAAAAATTCGACCCTGAATCGCTGCCGAAAGTCAAATTGCTGGAGGGTCAAGTCGCGTTCGATTCCGGCGGACATGCTATGGAACGCCGCACAATGGATCGAGTCAATCAGGAAGGTCGGACATGAAATTTTTTACTAAAACTGAGAATTTTGATGTTTATTTCGTCACATATTAAATTATAAGGGGTGCTTCAAGAGGGAAACTTCACGGGGAAACCAATGGAGCCACTTTTGGAGCCTCGAAGTTTTGTATAAATGGAGTTATAAGCGTTTTAAGTTCCCAAATTTTGTCCGACCTCTCCTATTGACTCGATCCACTGTGCGGCGTAAGAGCAGGATTTCCACAGAATTTAGAAAATGAAATTCCCTGACATTTCCCAGGCACATTTTGGTGAAATTCCCTGACAATTGAAGATGTGACGGATGGTTAAGAAGACATAATTGAAAATAGTTTTCAGGCAAAATTTCTTGTTCAAAATCTCAAACCCATTCTAAAAAGCAAATGGAGGTGATTTAACACATTTTCCCTGACATTTTCGTCATTTTCCCTGAAAATTCCCTGACTTTATAAAAGTCCCTGACATTTCCCGATCTACCCTGACTTTTTAAAATTCCCTGACACCCTATATGAGCCTTCAGACCCTGCCGAAATTCGTTTATTAGCGTACAATTTTTCTAAGAGACTCAGAAACATTTTTCTTCCGGGTTCTTGGAGAATCATACTCGCCCTAAAATCAACAGAATCTAAAGAAGTCAAGGAAAAATATTCATGATTTTCCTCAGAAATAAATATTCAATCCGACGGAATGTGGCAATGTTCAAATGCTCTTCGGCGTTTTTCCTTTGCACGACCGCACAGTGGATCGAGTCAATCAGGAAGGTCGGACATAAACTTTTTGACTAAAACTGCAAATTATAATGTTAATTTCATCACATTCGAAATTGTAAAGGGTGCTCCTGACAGAAAATTTCACGAGGGAACCAATGGAACCACTTTTAGAGTCTCAAAATTTTGCATAAACAGAGTTATAAGCTTTTAAAGTTTCCAAAGTCAGTCCGACCTCTCCCATTGACTCGGTCCATTGTGGGCCGCGTGACCCGTCTCAAGCTCCGACTTCGCTAGTAAGGACGGAGACAGTTACGCAATCGGACTGCTCCTTATCATGCGCAATGTGCCTTTTTTCACTTATGATTATTAATCGCACTGTTTTCGGATACGCCGAGAGGGTGTTAGTCGAGTGACCTACAGAAACGGTCCCCATACTTTTTGAGCCGCGAACCACCTTGGAGGTCCGCGGAACACATTGCGGACCCCCTACGCAGAGGTGCTATTTGGACAGCGTTAAGCAGAGAGGAACCAAGCCACATCAGCTATTGCCAAAATTAACAGGACAATTTAAGTTTTTACGAAAGAACTTTGGTGCGGATTCTTTCAAAAAAAGAAATTTACTTCGTACTGTGCAGAGGATTCACTGAAATTTGCACAAAAGTCCGCACAACAGTTTTCATGAAAAAAATTGAATTGTCCAATTAAATTTGGCAATGGCTGATGTGGCTTGGTTCCTCTCAGTTTGACGCAATCCATTTAAGGATGACGGGAGGGTAGATGCTGCTCCCAGTGCCCCCTCAATTATTGAAGATTGACCATCATNGGGGGGGGGGGGGGGGGGTTTGATCATTTTCGTTGAATTTATACTTTTTTCTGGTAAAAAATAGGGCTGAATTTCTTCCAAAATTTGATCTCTGTTTTAATCAATTTTGAGGTCATTCAAGTATTTCATGAAGAAAGTATTCTCACCGACTTTCAACCTCCCTCTCCCTCCTTATGGGGGACCCGTAAAAAACCCTCTCACCCCCTCCCCCCTTCCAATTACGTGAGACAGCCTAACTCCCATACCCCCCAGTTTTCAGAAAATAGCTGAGAAGCCGGAAAAATAGCTGAAAAAGTGTAAAATTGTTACCTAAATATAATTTTCATTTCAAATGGAGGGCTTACATAAGACTGGGCTTGATCCCCTCTCCCCCCCTCCTTAGACTTATAAGGGAATATTCCCCTCCCACAGAAGCAGCTTACTTAAAATACTTGAAGGGGAAAATGTTTAGGTAGAAGTACCTTGGAGGAAAGGAAACACAAAAAATGCATTAGGTACCTACTTACCAGCATCTTAATTTAAAAATAGAAAAAAATTTTTTTTACTGCTTTGAGGAAAGTGAAGTACTTAATATTGAAACTTCATTTGAGGGGGTGAAGTAAATGTTTGGCAACAGCGTCAAATAGGTGAGCAAGTTTCCTTGTGGCCCGACGGTTGTGATTTTCAAGCTTCTAAGTAGTAGCTTATTCTTAACTATACATAGTACTGAAAAGAGCAAGTGCAAATTAACAATGCAAGTTCCTAGCATTTGTTTTTTTTTTTCAACCCTTCATCAGACTCCACAATACCTTGATCAAGCAAAATACATCAAACTCTCGAACGTAGCTCCAAGAATATGTTTACCAAGATTAGACAAAAATAAGTCGAAACTAAATTTATTTGCAAGATCATAGCTGACCACATTTAGGTTTTAACTTGTCTAAGGCTCTACATGTGTCTAAAACCAATCTCCTAGAAAACGGCATCTTTTCAGGCACGGAAGAAATTTGAACAACACGCCTGTAAAATGATCGGTATATTATTCAGATACAAGCACCAATACGTACATCTGTCGGTGCATCTGAATTTAGCGCACTTATTTAATAGACTGTGGGCAAGTGCCACCTGGAGGCAATCTGTGCAACATGGATTCTAGCTTTGACTGGAAGATCCTTTCGTTTACCTATTTGACATTGTTAGCCATCAAAAAAATTTAAGATCTCATATTGTAATTTCCCATGTCTGCAAAATATCTGCAAATGAAACTGCTAGAGAGGGGGGTCTAGGTGGGGACACTGTGCCCTTCAAGAGGTCAGTACTAGCTGATACATGGCAAAAATGCCTACAATGTATGCACAATGATGTTGCCTGAACTGAAAGGTGAGCTGTGTACGCGAAGGGTGCAATCGTAAATTTTTCACAAGGCGCAGGGTTAATAAATAATGGTGAAGATCGATTTCCAGATTGACACTGAGAAAACCATTATCGGGGGAAAGAATCGCTTAAAAAGAATTCTTCTGGACGGTTAGATTGCTATTTACTTTGCATCATCTTGTACAAAGTGAAACCATGTGGGATGAGGTAAGGGAGGAAATGAATGACAGTTGGGCAATTTTTTAGTTAGATTAGATTGAATGAAATATAGGAAGCTTGTAACTTACTTCTAGACATCGACATTTTTGATGAGTTTTGATAAACTTCACACAAGAAAAACTGGGCAAATAAAAAAAATCAGAAGAGTACAGTAAGGGTTGAAAACGCAAACACTGTTCTGTATCACAAACACAAGAGGGGCATTTTGAGCGTTTTTGAAAACGACTGGGGGACGATCTGTCACGGTCAAACACGACGCGCTGACTGTCGGCGAGTTGGTGGGTAATTCTGTCCTACCGGTTTATTGTTACGATTTTAATTTTTTCGCGAATCTAACTGACTAGACCGAGTAGCACGAATACTGATCACGAACTAGGTTAACAGGTTTATGATAAAAAAGATAAACACATTTCGAAGTGAAAGTGAATCCCACACCTCACTGAGACTACTTTTTTTGCCAGGATAGTACATGCGCAAATGAGTGAATGGAGAGCTAGAGTCACTACGAACCGGAAATGGCAATGCATCTAACCGGAAACGCCGTCTCAAATCGATTTTTTTAATTTTTTTCAACAGCATCAATGAAAGCGTACACTACAGAACAAATGTAGATAACTCATGTACAAAATACATTTGAAATCGGCGAAAATACAAATTGGGGATATTTTTCCACCTCATGTAACCAGATGTAAAACGAATTTTCACCGAATGAGATTATCATTTCACTGTGCTGAAAATTAGTAAAATTATGCGTTATTCACGAAATTTCAACGATTCTCCACAGACTGCAAGTACAGCCAAAAAAAAAACTTGCCGCTTTGGGCCGCGGCCTCAACAGCCTGTGTATAAATCTGGCCATGATTGCATATTGATTCCATTCTAGAATTTTTAAAACTTTATCATGAAGCTTCATGAAACTCCAATAAATTAGTTTGTAGAATTTCATTTTAAGTATTACATTTTCTCTTTTTACATGAAATTTTGCATGTGTGCATGTAAGTACCCTTAACAGCTAGTTTCTTATTTTTCCCGTTGTTACTGTGTGCATGATTTACAGGGGAAAGATCCGAGGATTTTTGGCAACTTTTGTTTTCTTAAAAAATCTAGTTGAGCTCGATTAAGTATATGCCAGAAAACCATTGAATTCTCAAACCTAATTTCCTCCAATATCCTGAAGCCAACACATTTTTTTTTTTTTTGAGTGGAAGAGGCTTTGTAATGTAAAGTAACAACAGTTTTGTTTGAGGAAACTTCACAAGAATGAACCAAAGCCTCTAAACATCGATGTAAACAGAGATAGGAAAAATAATAATAAGTTTTGCTCAAACTAAAAATTATACTGATGAAAATCATTGAAAAAAGTCAAAACTAAAATAAAAACAACATTTTATTTTCAAGAATTGTACAAGAGAGATTCGTCTTTTAAGGGTGAAATACATCTTTGCATTTCTTGAGATTTCTAACTGAGTAACTTCCTACATTTGCTAGAGGTTGACTGAATTATATACCAAAGCTATTTTTACTTGTAGTTTCAGAGGTACAGGACGAAACGATTACAAATTCACAAAAACAATACCTAGTTATTTGACACTGAATGTCTTTTCTCACTTCTTTTAAAAGAATCAATCATTCAAGTGAATGATGACGCAGTGATGAAGAATCATTCACCATTAATTTTTCACAGTTTCTTTCTTCTAATCCTGACACATTTTTTTGTGGCTTTATTATTACACTCTCCAAAACTGATCCAGTCAACCCCCAGACATCAAGTTCTTTCAATGGTACAAAAATAAAACATTATCAGAACCCAAACATTTTTGAAAATTCTAAAATCATTAAATATCACAGGCACAGCAAATTCTGCCATCCTTTACAACGGAAGCAGAGTGGACATGAAAAAAATCACAGTTCTCAGTTGGTGATTTAAAAGTCACTCTGCAAAAATGTGCAACAAGTAGATAGACAAATAACAAAAGTTCAGCTTAAAACTGGCTAGCTTAACTTGAAAAACATACAAATGTGTATATGTTAGAAAAACTAATTTATGGGTTGCACTAGTAAAAAGTTTGGCCTAAGCAGAAATAATTATTAATTAATCTTGATGATTAATCAGACAACTATATATCGACAGTGAAACTGCAAAATTGCATAATGCATATCTAAATTGCGATGTTTTTAAATCTCATCTTTTATTTTATTTTTTTAAAAGAGACTGGACGAACATCATGGCTTAACATTTTTAAAGAATATTCTTCACAGGAAAAATCATAAGTTATCATGGAATGACGTTATATGGTTTTCTATTTAGAAAATAAAGTACGATAGTAGTCTGCAATGCCGCAAACCGAGATACGTATTTCTGCAGTTTCACCATCGATATTACACTAATACAGAATCGAGTGAGGTAAGTGTTCAACAAAAGTTGAGGAAGTCTGGTCTACATTCTTATCCATACCATAACACATAAATAACGAATTAAGAAGATACTAAAACAAAATAAAAAAGAAATAACAATTTTATGAGTAAAAGTTTAAAGCAGCAGAAGAATGTTTCCAGTCTTCTCATTTCATACTTTGATAAGTATTTACAAACAGCTCTAGGCAGGCGCCTAAGTTTTAAGTTCTTTGATCCTGAATAAGTTTCTACCAGATATTAATCTTCCAGAGTCACTATTGAAAGATAATTAAGATTTTTTTTCTGGGGCATATCAAAGATTGGTGTGGAAGAGGTAATTTTCAATATTTATATGTACTTTCTGAGTAAAGTCCTGAAAGAATTATTAAACAATCTATTCTACTATTTCTAAATTACCTTCAAAGCTTAAAAAATAATTGAGGGCTGCTGGAATGCATTATCAGAGAGAACTCAGAGCAAGTTACCTCATGTAACCTGAATGATTCATTATTAAATGCTAGAGACTAAATTTATTGCTTACAACTTAGTTTTTTTCTTCTTCTCAGTTAGTGAAAATGAGATTCGATCTGAATACAATGAGTTTTCTAAAGAGTGGGGTGAGTTCCTCTGGTGGGAAAAAGCAAGAATTTTTTTATTTATTTGACAATTTTAGAGGAGAATAATTGGTGTTCCTTACTGCATGATAAATTTTGGTCTTTTAAGAATGCAAATTTTTTTGTGATGATAGATTTTTCCCCTGATTTTCTATCCGCTCTAGAATCAGAGGCACTGAAATAAAGGACCTCATTATTTGGACCGCGTTAAACAGAAAGGAACCAAGCCACATCAGCTATTGCCAAATTTAATCGGGCAATTTAATTTTTTACATGAAAACGGTTGTGCGGATTTTTGTGCAAATTTCTATAAATTTTCTCCATAATACAAAGCAAATTCCTTAAAATTTTCAAAAGAATCCGCACAAACGTTCTCTCGTAAAAAATCAAATTCCCCTGTTAAATTTGACAACAGCTGATGTGGCTTGGTTCCTTTCTGTTTAACGCGGTCCATTTACCAGTAGCTCTAAATTTTCCTCATAACAGGCGGTACTATGAATAACAGAGGAAATTCAAGGGACTGGAAGGTTCCTTGGCTGTAAGGAATTTTTCGTGCTGCGTAATAATTGCGTCTAAATATTCATGCATAATAAATTCTTACAGTAGTTTTTTATATTTTTAAGCCCTTGCCATAGTTCAGGAAAGTGGATGTATTTTTCATAATCTTAGGTTGCACAGTAAAATAAACTCTTAAAATAGTTCATAAATACTCTTAGGTTTGTAGTCCAACAAGTAACAGGGGTAATTTAGCAGTAGGAACGTTCAGTGTCATTTTTTCGTTTTTTATTGAAATCTAATGAAATTTTTGAGTTAGGAAACTTCCAAGATTTCCCTAAATTCTGAACAAAGTAGTTTCCTGGTAATTTAAAGAATAATTATCAAGAAAACAAAGTCCTAATTATACCTTGATTTAAAAACACTCAGCTCTTACGATATCGATAGTTTTTAAGAAAGTCAAGAAACAAAAAATTACTTAAGGAATTCATCTTGTAACAAAGTAACATTTGAGGCATGAGTATTGTAATATCATATCTTCCATTCATAGGTCTATCTGATTTGGTCTGCTCTTCATAGCTACATTCAGTCTTTTATCTACAGACAAAGAGGAGCTACAACTGTTTTATCCAGTTTTATTAAGTTCAGGTAAAGTAGAAATGATTTAAATGAGGGCTTGTTCCCAGTTATGAGAATATACAAATAACTGCCAAAAGGCTTGTAAATGAAAAATGAATAAAATGTAAAATTATAAAATAATTTTGCAGAATAGATATTTGATCAGATCTCTGGCCGATTTACTATCCTACCTACAGAGAATAGTGGAAGATTCATTTGAAAATAAAGTAAATAAATAATTAAATAAAAAAAATAGGTACCTTAATAGAATGGATCACAAGACAAGGTACAAATTAAACCATTCTGATAAATGTTTCCTCGATAAAATTTCATGTAAAACATGATTTTTGCAACGAAAATTACTGAGATTAAGATATTATCGTTTTTACTTTACTTGGTTATGAAAAATTTGACTTTTCCGCTCCCAAGAAAAACAAAAGTCTAGTGAATCTAAACGCGCACTACAAAGGTTTTGGTAGGCTTGTTAATCGAACTGTCTTCCTTTACCGTCCTATATTGTTAAAATTATAAAGAGCAGGTAACAGCTGAGCCACAGCGCTGAGATTGAGGTTGCCGTATTTCCTACTCTGCAGAGACTGTGCAGGTAACGTTTAGTATTAGTGGATCATGGTTTTTTTCATAAACAGAAAGTTTGAATTTTTGCAACGAACATGTTAACATCTTAGTTAAACGATACTTGTAATAATTTTCATGGCACAAGTCCTGTTCTACGTGAAATTTTGATGAGAAAACATGAAGCAGAATGAATCTGCATCTAGTCTAGTGGTCCAATGAAAAAGATTTTGCAATACAGTGACAAAAATTCAAAGTTTTTATCATAACCTTGCTGAAAAGAATTAATGTATTGTACTGTTGGGGAAATCTGAAAGAAGAAAAAGACAAGGTGAAATTGAACTATTGTACAAAGTAAGGTCTCAAGGATTGCTTCCAACATTTTGTTAATAGTCATTAAAGAGAGCTTGGAAGTATATATAGTCTTATCTCACTTTTTACCAACTTCAATTTCTTGAGATATCAAAAGTATCTGATCCTAAGCAAAGTTTGGTTTCCTTTAAATCTCCTTTTTGTACATCCAAGATATGTTCCATGAGCGAGATTCAGTGAAAACCTTGCTTTAACCATTTTAAGGTGAAGGTTTCAAAAAAAGCGCTGTTGGCAGGCTATCAGTGCACCTTGTTTTCAAAATACCGATAAACTTCGATAAAGCTGCCATTATCAGAAATGACTACTCTGTGGAACATGACAAGCTCCTAGTCAAAACATTTTTTATCTTGTGCATCTATCTGTTGGTTTACGAAGTAGAACTGATATATATTCTAAGAACTCATTCTACCTGCTTCAAAAACTATGATAGCGATCAGTAACAGTTTCCCTATGGTTACTTCTTCTAAAAGGAGACTTTTCCGTGCATTACCAAAAAATGGCGAGACGCAGGCGCCCCTCCTTTAAGGCACAAATTGATTCAAAAAAATTTGAATCTCTCTGCAAAATACAGCCTTTGATTTGTCTTTCCTTTGAATTCATTGTTGGACTCAGACTTCAATGACATCCCAACGAACCAGTTCACTAGTACAGATGTCCATTGTTACATAAGCGCCTTGTTCTGCCGTCTCTGCACTCAAGCACGTACCAGCTGCTACATTGTAAATGGGTGAACCCTTCTGTAAAATGAAAAGAAGAGAACAGATATTCAGAGATGAGGACTTCTAATTTTTTTCCGAGCAATTTTTTCCCCTCTTTATAGAGGGACTGAACTTTAGTGAATTACTAAAATTTCATCAAAAAATAATGTTGCAATGGACATGAAAATAAGGTAAGAGTCAAAGTACAGCAAGATTTGTTCCACCATCCAAAATTCAAACAAAATGTGTTGAAAATTTCCAAAATAAACTTTTAAATATGGACAATATTAGCATTAACTGTTTACAATAAATCTTTTTCCATTCAAACTTCTTCCTACAGGCGCCAAAACCGATAAAGTTAAAAACGAAACTAATTGATTATGATTCGAACATAACATTACCTAAAACAAAATTATCGCTTTATAATTACCTAGTGCTGGGTTCCACAATAATTTTCTTCTTTATTTGATAAACAGTATACATGTAAACTGTGTTGAAAAAAAATTCAGCCTCCAACACACTTGAGAAAATGATTTAATTATGAGAAGTACCGAAATTAGTTGGGTGTCTGATTTGATTCAAGAGGACTTTGGTTTTTTAGAAAACGAGAGGTTTGAATTTTCGAAAGCGAAAACACTAATTCCTCATTCGTCATTAAAGGTGATTAATTTTCAATTTTTAACACCACCAAATTCACTTCGAAATTTTTAATTTTAATAAGAGCATATATGCTGCCATACTTGGTTTCAATTCTTGTCCAATGGTACATTCAAGTTGTTCGGTTCTAAGAATTTAACTCTGTTACAACTTGACATCATTAAATTGACTGACCCTTGATTGAATTTTTTTTATGATTGAGTAAATGTATTCTAGGCATTTAATTTAAAGTCAGCAAGAAACTAAAATTCGTGACTTCAAAATTATTCGTCATGAAAAATATTTTCGCATGTCACAATGTTCTTACCTTCAAATGATATTTCCACGACTGAAGACCACCCATTTCATGGCATTTGGAAATTTTAGGTCTGGGCTTCCCTGCATCCAGACACAATAGCTGCGCAACGATGAGTTCTGATTTGTCCGTCTCATACCACATCTAGAGCATACCATCAAATCAACCATAAATTATCAGTGTTTATGAGTATATAACAACAGATTGCAGTATTATTTCATTTCATTTGGCTTCAAAATTTTGCTACCACCAGTTGATAGACTTCATTCTAGAATAGAGGGTGGTAGTCATTAATGCAGCACTCTTCCGTTCTTTAGGATTTGAGTTGTATGACCTCTCCTGAAATCAATGGTTTACAGTTCACATAAACGCAGCTTGTGTTAGGTCAACCAATTTTTGCGCTCTTTTGAACTAATCCAGGATTTGGTTAAAAATTAAATACTCAATTCTGATTGGTCCAACTTCCAATAGTGATACAATAGTCATCCATCTAAAAAATGAACCGAATCCAGTTTTGGAAATTTGCCTTAAGAAGAGCAAATGCATGAGCTTAGTTGGGACTTTCATTAAATGTTCTATATTATATAATTATATTTTGATAAAAAATTCCTAGAAAGCCACCCATTGGTATTCTCTCTAAATTCTAAATTAGGAGTGGAAATTATAAAATACTGCTATCTAGAAGTCCCCTTCCTACACCTAAAACTTCAAATTCTAGAGCATTGAGGAGGAGGAAACCACCTTACCTGGTTTTTTGTTCGCAGACAAGACTTAAGAACTAAAAGAGAGCCTTTCTTCAAATCTTTCTCAGGTGCAACACAAAGGGCAGTATTGGACAATCGGATCTAAAAAATAGAAAGTAAACACCAGCATTATTGAAAAGATTCATGGGCTAATAAACATTCTTGACACAAAAGAAATAAAAACATTAATTTCTGCTCCCCTTCTCCTCAACACTTGGTGGTGCTTGAGAAAGTTTGCACTGATTTCTTGAAATGGACACATGTATCGTTCATTAGGAAATAAGTTGACTGCCTTGAGGCGAAAATGTCTTTGAAACAATGAACAGGGCTAGCGCTATACATATATCAAGGATTTCTTTTTTTTTTAATCAATGTTACTTTTGGAATAATTTTAATGCTTTAACATATTCTTGGTTACAATCATGAAAATATTTAAAATTTCTCGGTATTTCTCTCTTTCTTTACTGCTGGCAAATCTTTATAAATAAAACTGTAAAGGTCGAAACCTTGTGATCCTTACTTCTGAAGAACGCCGGACCAATGTCCTTGATTTTTGTTGCAAAAAAAAACTGTTAATGTCCTGATTGTATACCAAAAATCCAAAACTTTTAATATGCACTCTTGAAAGTTTTCATGGAGCTCGCAAAGCGAGTGATCGGAGGTCAAGGGGCGGACCCCCTGGCTAGGAGTGGAGGCGAGCAAAGCGAGCTGAAGCAGCTAGTCAATAATAAAAGTAACACGAATATTCTTCCATTATGCAATATTTTTCCTTCACCAAAAGAAATACTATACATCTAAGAGATAATACATAGGATATAATACGAATTCGGTAATTTACCTGAAACTGATTGACAAAATTCCTCTCACGTTGGTTCCATGGCTGATACTTTGGTTGTTCCATTGCCTCCCATTTTTTCTTCAACCTTTCTTTATCATCTGTTGGAAGAGCTAACTCTGGATAAATGTTCTTTAAATACCTGGTGAGAGAAAAATAGTATTTATATGAAAAAATCACTGAAATAAACCCCAAAATCTTGAATAGGAGTTTTTATGTTTATTTTGATGCTGACATAAAGCCTCTTTATACAAGCTATCTGACCATTTCTAAGGACTGAAATACACAGTATCTTTAATGACAGGTGTAATATTTTTTGAATTCACCCTGGGTCTTAAAGTATAATTGCTGAAGTTGCATTTGGAATTTTTTAGACCAATCTAGAATCCTCGATCAGCTTGTTATGATGTTACTAAAACGTTTACAAATAAAAAGAGCTGGTTGAAATTTTAAAACTTTTAGCTTTAATTTGGATAATCAAAATATCAACTGTGCATATACGGATTCGTAAATACACTTGATGAAATCCACTCAATCTTTGAAATCGTTGTTGATGTATTTCGCAAGTTTTATCTAAGGTGTTAAGCAAAAAGCAATAATTTAAATACTAGCTGCTAAGTTACACTTTATTCACTTGTAAGTGAATACAGGTGAATAGTAACTTGAGAAGATAGAGCATTTTCAAAGACACTATAGTTGAACTCCCCAAAATAAACTATTTTATGTAGTATTGCCAAATAAAAATCTTCGGAATTCAACCGCTGTTACACAACCTCTGCTGTAAAGGGCTTCGCTTTTTCTCTCACTCTTTGCAATATCAGGAGGTAAAAACGTTTGCTGTGCAAGATAAGTTTAATGGACTGTTTTAAATGATTAAGTTAGAACAAACCAGTAAGAACGTACCAATCAAAGCTTTTGCATCCCAATGTATTTCTGAGTGCAATTCGTTCCGACACATCACCATACGGATAATCCCCTCGTCTGGCTTGCATTGTGTGATTGAAGTAGTGCTCTTTGTATTCATCCAGCCAGACCATGGCCACACGCAAAGAATTTTTAAGCATCGAGTCCTGGCCTGATGGGTCTGCATAAGGTCGACGCTTACGGAAAACATGGCCCACGCGTGAGCATGGGATTATTTCCAGCCGTCCTCCGCACATCCATACACGGAAAGAGAGCTCCAAGTTTTCACCGCCCCAGATATCCATTCCTTTGTCGTACGTGCCTAGCGCATAAAAGTACGCACGATCCATTGCAAAAAGGCCCCCTGCCATTGTTGGTGAGCTGAAAAAACAGGTGTAAGTCTGAAAATCTTCAGGGAAGCAATGATTGTTGCAGTATTGATACTATCGTTAGTTTTTTATTTAGAGTATTAACTCCAGATGACAAAGAGATATTTAAAACTTAAAATTTTTAGAATTTGAAACTGCTCCTGAGGATAACCAATTCTAAATCTGAATTAAAGTGATTCTTAGAACTTTGAGGTGTGTAACTCAGTATATACGGTTTGAATGTGAAGTTGATGTTACGAATTATCTACACTCTCGTCCAATTTTTGAGTAAGTTCCCTACAAAATGAATTCACAAACAAAATTGAGTCTTCAGTCAGTGCCTCATATAGTCAAATCGACTAATACGACTTTCATGAGAAAGCTTCACTCACAGCTTCTATAGAAAACGTTAATATAGTCATGATCCATAGACAGAAAAAATTTTCACATTGGTTTAAGATATGAGTTGCTACTTGGTTAGCAACTGTAGGTACCAAATAACTGACATTTTATAAATTTGGTCGGTACCATTTCCTTTCGAAAACCAAGAAGTTACGTAAAGATTCAAGTATTACTATTCACAAGATTTACGATCAAAATTAAACAATCATAACTTTATTGAGGATTGAAAACTTATGTCCGGGCCCAGTTTGCATCTTTATCAAAGATTCAAGGCTGAAACTTTTGTAAAGCAAACATTTGATTTGCTATCAAGGCTATGTGGAGAGATGATCACAAAAGAAGATGCTGATTGCAACTGATAAAATTGCTTGTTCTGTGCCATAAACAAGAGAGTCCCAAGTCAATTACAACGTTCTAGTTATTAAGGTCTCCTCTTTTTTTGTTTTGTTTTTTTGTAGGAAACATGCATTTATCCTTCTACCGCTCATCACTTGTTAATCTAATATCATTAAAAACTTATTTCAGATAAAATTATTACTGTCCAATAATCTTTCGTTTCCTTATTGAAACACATAATATAAGAGGAGAAACTGAATTAGTGTATATTAACTTAGATCTAGAACTAGAGTCCCTTTATACCCAGAGTTACGACAACTCACTTTTGGTTGGGCCAGGGTTGGGCTGAAAGTGGCCTAAAAAAAAATCCAATTCTGATTGGTTTTCGCTCATGGAGGCCGAAACGAGTGCACCAAGATGGCGGTACCTCGTATGTGAACAAGAATAATGAAAATATTACCTAATTGTGGTTTATCAAGAGTAAATTGTTATTTCCATCGGTCCAAAATGAAAATAGATTAAGAAATTATTCACAAACCAATCTCATTTTATATTTAATTGATCAGTTTGTTGATGTTGTTGTTTTTGTGTGACAGACATCGCAGGATTCCTGATCCTTATCCCTCAATATCGTTCGTTTGGGTGCACTCGTTTCGGCCTCCATGGCCAGCCAAGGCCGGCTGTCAGTCAGCTGATAATCGAGTTGTCGTAACTCTGGGTATAAAGGGACTCTATCTAGAACAATCTTCCTTAAAGGGCAATATTGTTTTTGCTTATTGCATAATATTCTCACCTGATGGGTTTAATAAAGTCCTCGTCCGTTTTTAAAAGGTTCTTAGGGAGGGATTCCCACTTGAAGTGGAGACCCCAGTTAAAGCCACCTCGCACAATGACAGACGGCGTGTAATGGAAAGTGTCCGCATTGATGACATCAATAATAGGGGTGACAACAGTATGCGAGTCAGCGGCTATTGCTGCCAAAAGTGGCTCTATCCAGCCTACATTAACTTCAATATGGCTGTCCAGAAAGATCAGAACCTGCAACAAAGAGGGATATTATTCAGTGCAAAATATATTTTAAAGAGGAATTAGAGGTCAAAATCTACCACAGGCGACTATACTTTTTGGATGACACGGAACTCACTGGAAATATGAGAAATGAATTAATCAGCACATTATAGGGTATATGATTATGAGAAAACTGAAACTAGGAGAGATAGAAAAGTACATAAACAAAGCAGAGGCTAGGTTTCTATGTTGCAAACCTGGAAAGAGAAATGGATTTGAAATTTTAGCCTGTGCAATGATATTTAGTTTCATATCGACAATGAAACTACCAGACCATGTAAATCGTTTACATTATTTTGAAATCTCCGCTCGCATTTTTTTTAAGAAGAGAAGAAATCAATATTATTCCTTGAAGTTTCTTCAGAATTTTCTTCGCACAGAGAAGAGATATCAAAAAAGTTTTTCAGCATTGACGTTGAATCTTTTCCCATTTTAAAAATAAAGCACGACAGCATGACAGGAAGTTAGCAACATCGTAAATCTAGATACAGAGTTTGATAGTTTCCCCGTCAATATGTAATTCAGAGTTCCTTTCAATTACGCCAGGAAAAAGAACCTGGGAATTATTCATTCTGCAACTGAAGTACTTAAAGAATAGATAATTTGAAAGGTCCATAATTTGCAAAGTTTTCACGATCTTTTGTACACGTATAATCGGAGAATATTATGATTGTGCTTTTGAAATGTTCCACTGAAGCTAGCCTGAAACAGAGACAAGAGATCCTCCACTGGTATCTCTATCTTGAAGCTATTACTTACGGGACTATAACATTCAACTGCTGACCTACTTACTAGGTGGATGGTCAACAACATGTTGAGAATTTCGTTTTGCAAACAAACCAAAGTTTGGGAAACTTCTTTAACTCATTACATCATCTGAGGCTCATCATTTACCCAGCAAGTAAGATGACTGTTGCTCCCTCATAATTGTCCAAAAAAAAGTGTTGAATCCCCGAAAGTAACAGCTTCCACCTGTGGCCAAGGGGCCAGTGGAGAGTCTCTTGTCTCTGGCCTGGAATTAGCAAAGTGGACTTAGATGAAATAGGCGTTACACACCTGGCCAGATGTCTTCCCAGCACCGAGCACTCTTGCTCGAATCAGTCCCTCCCTTTGTTTAGCTCGTACCAACTTCACCTTTTCCATTCCCTTAGAAGCAACAAATTGATTGACCTCTTCCTCCAGTCCAGGAAGGTCACTAAAATCGTCAACGAGAATGATTTCATGCAAAAAGCGTTCAGGGGTACGTTCCAGGATGCTGTGGACAGATCGTTTCAAAGTGTCGGCATGCTCGTTGTAGAAGCAGATGACAATGCTTGCTGTGGGGAGGTCTGAAGGGTAAGTTTGCGTGCGGCAGAGGGGATGGCGAGTATCATTGATGGATCGATGGTAGCCCAGCCTTGAAGAGATGAGAGCGTTGAAGCCATGGAGCTTGTAGCCTTCTTCTTTGAGGCGCAGGTCTGCCACGGACTTCACCAAGCCAAGTTCATCAAGTCCTATAGAGGATAGAAAAATTAGAATTATTTCTTTCCTATGATGAAAAAAGATTTGGAGAGACATAAAGAAGAGAGAATTGGTACTAAGAGAAATGGACGATAGATACCATCGAAATGAAAGCAGGGCTATATGTTCCATGAAAAATTGATGCAAAATCCATTAGCAAAGTTTATTTCCAAAATAGATTTATGAGTGAAAGACTTTCATTTGTTTTTGCCATTGAGATCAGTTGATTCAAGGCAGCAAATCAGCTCCAAGAAGATGCGCAGATTTTTGTAGAGGAAACTGCTCAGAGTCTGAACACTTCTTAAAGACATATCACGATCTTTTAAATAATCTTACGCACAAAACTAAGCTAAATATTTCTCATATAACCTTCATCTTTCAGGAGTTCATTGGAAAATATGAATTCACAAGTGTGCCTTTTCTTTCTGCCCATTTTTTTATGGAACTTATTGGGAGTTCTATTCTTCCCTCATGTCACCCTTGAAAAATTGTTTAGTAAATACTAATATTCATATCTTAACGAATTTTTAAGTCTACATACTTTTGACTGCAAACAAATTTAGAATTCTGTCTCTAACGGCTTAAACGTTAGTGAAAAAACAATCAATTTCAGAATCACCTTGTACCAGAATTGAACAGCAAAAAATTTGGGACATTTTTAATGGTCTTTTAATTACAACTCTGCCTCTAGATGTATATAATAGTTAAAAATAAAACGAGCCTTTCAAATCAGAAGATTTCGCATGAAATTCATTTTGGTTGGTTTTAAACATAGCAAATTTAAAGGGTAAGTAACAACTTCAGGACCATTTCTATGTAACTATGTAAAGAATACCTTTATGACCTTTAAGAGGGGGATTAAATCCTCTTAATTCAACAATTTTAATTCCATTTTACCTTCTTAAATGAGGAAGGATCATTCTATACTCCATAATTCTGTCGACAAAAGCGAGGACGCTATGGTTTCAATCTGAATAATTCAATTTTTCCATTCCAAAATTATTTTTGGTCAAAAAATATTATAAATTTGTCCATTATAATTTTAAAATAATGAGAGCATGATTCAATTGGAAACTGATGCTGAGAAAATGAATTTTGAAAGTGACCATGTTTTATTTAATTTTTTTTTATGACAGAGCAATTTGTTATAGAAAAATACAGTTTCCATTATTTCTTTACTTTCCTTTCTACTACTGCCTTTCCCTGACTTTTTTCTTAGTTTTTTGCCTTTCCTATACTCCAAAATGTTTAAATTCTCTGACTTTCTTTTATCTCTAAAAAAAACTTCCACTTAGGCTTTATTTCTATTTAATTATGTTGACTTTTGCTAAATACTGCACACCGAATTCCCTAACTTCCGATGATATTTCAGGTTTTCCAGACCATCAGGTACCCTGGAAATAAAAAATTCTGGGACAAATTAAAATAATCCTTGTTTTAGGTGGCATCACTAAAGGATACTTGATTAATTTAGCATAAGAATAAATATTAGTTACCAAATGGCAGTGGTGATTCTGGAGTGGGGTACTGAACCTTCAGTTTCTTCTTCAGATTATCACTGTTCTTGTAGCCATTTTCATACTGGAAATACTTCTTCTTATTTTTAGCAATGGTTTTATCATTCTCATACGGCAGGATCTCGTTATCCAGTGGATTATGGTGTTTGAGAGGTTTGAGAAGTTTGAGAGGGGTAGGAGCTGACTCCGATATGGTCTGTAATGATTGTTCAGCCGTAAGATTCCAATAGAGATAGATGCTCGTCATCCATGTGAGTGATGCTATTAGCATACCCCACCAGAATGATCGGTAGCGCCGCAAGTAAAGCAGCATCTGAAAACAAATAAAAGGATATCATTTGAAAAAAAACTCTTCCCTTCAGTGCTTACAGACAAGAAATAGGTGGGTGATAAACTAATGAGTTAAAAGCGATTAATTTAAAGAATAGGTTATTAAAAACCCAGTTTTTATGATAGCTTCATGACAGAATAAAACTAGATGTCAACTAGTTTAATAGTAGATTTAATATAAAAGATAAGAATTTAAGGCTTTTAAGAAGCTTGCTGGACAAGTGATGCTTGTCATGATACAGCAAATTTCAGCTCTGGTATTAAGGCAATTTAATTGGATAACTTTATAGGCTTGTCCACACAACTTTTTATACAGGGAGCGACTTTAATTCTTCATGAGATAGGAAAAAATTAAAATATGGAACAGTTTTGTAATGTCTCATTGTGCTACCTTCAATTAAAATCTATTCAATGATGGTACAAGAAATAAAATGGGTCTATGGCACCCTAATCTTCATTCATTTTCTGGAAGTACAAGGTGAACTGAGCTTCTACAAATTTTCCGATCTTTTTTCATCCTTTTGTCTCAACAGCGGAAAGCCCCCACTTTAAAAATGCCAAAAATGGGATCTGTTTAAAAAAAAACTTTTGGCGGGCGCTGATGACATAGCCAAACAGGGGAAAACAGCGTTTGCTGATTGGCTGAACTCGGTCTTCAGGCATTGCTATGTTACGAGAATTCGAATTTCAGCTTTTGCTTGGCCAGGTTTTGATAAGCTGATTCTCCCTGTGGAAATGATGTCAGGACTATTTAATAAAATTTCTGGGTTTTTCACAAATTTTACATAAATAGTTATTAATTTTTCAGATAAAACTATACCTACTACGACCCTGCAAACATTTTTGCCACTGCCCCACTGTGTTATCTGCTCTGCAAGCCAATTATCAAAGGTTTAATGCGGCCCAATAAAACACCGAAATGTGATGCATTGCATTGGTAAGATAGGACTATGTCTTGTCTTATCATGCCAACATAGCTTCATTCAGTGGGCTGCTGCTTAGATTGTGGATGGCTCAAGTCAGTAGTCAGTAATCAAGTAGTGGCATAAGCTTATGGATTATCAAGTATACTAATTTTAGATTAACATATCGACAGTGTGAGTCGGCAATCACATAACTCGGTTTGCGACGTCGCAGACTTCCTGTCATACTTTATTTTTTGAATGGAAAACTACTCAACGGCAATTCTTAAAAGCTGCCGTATTTTTCTTCTATATGTGAGGAAAATTCTGCATAAACTTCAAGAGGTGATGTCAATTTGTTTCTCTTTGGAAAAATAGCGTAGAGGCAGAGATTTTCAGACGCCGCAAACGAATTGTGTGATTGCCCACTTACATTGTCAATATATACATTTTGCTAGGAAAAAACAACTTAATCGGCCCGAAACTTCAACAGAGAAACAACTTAAAACTGGACTAAGGCCGCAAATAATAAAAAAAACACATAAAGTAAAATAAGAAACCAGGGACGTTTTGCAGGGATCACACCCGCAAAGGCCGGTTGAAAAAGCGGGTGTGATCCCTGCAAAACGTCCCGGGTTTCTTATTTTATTTTATGTGTTTCTTTTTCTTATTTGCAGCCTTAGTCCTGTTTTAAGTTGTTTCTCTGTATTAATTTTGCTGATAGCTGCAGTCAATAAGGTTCCAATGATATCCTGCCTAAACCATTCGGATACTCCAATTAGAACTGGAACAGACTTTACTTATGCAGTTGTAAGAAGGGGGTGAAGGGATTGTTATAAGGACCATCTGGTATATCATTATATGATGATACATATATCGACGGTGTAAGTCGGCAATCACATAACTCGGTTTGCGACGTCGCAGACTTCCTGTCATACTCTATTTTTTAAACGGGAAACTATTCAACGGCAACTCTTCAAAACTGCCATGATTTTTCCTTGCAGTGCGAAGAAAATTCTGCAAAAACTTCAAGGAATGATGTCAATTTGTTCTCCTTTAAAAAATAACATAGAGGCAGAGATTTACAGACACCGCAAACAAGTTGTGTGATTGCCGACTTACACCGTCGATGTGGTGAATGATGCATTAAATGTTTATCAGGTCTGTCATATGCCCTGGACACATGTTCAAAGTGATGCTAAAAAGTAATGGATATTTAGCTGAGTATTGCTGTCAATTACCTCCAGAAGCACACGGGTAGCTCTCTTTAGCAGCATCAATACACAACACTCGATTAGACAGCCGTCACTTTGGAGCCTCAATTTGAACATGAGTCTGAGGCAGTACACCTGTCCCCTGTCACCATAAGCCGATCGGTTTGACGTCCATGGCAAATTCTTGCAATCAAGAGGCCTTCTCTTGCAGTTGCTCAGTAAGACTGAGGAGCGTTAGCAATCGGTCCACGGAGAAGTTACAGGATTTAATAGTAAGTCCTATTAATTCAAGAAATCAATAAATGCTCACCGCAGGAAAATTTTGGTTGAATGCACCACCAGGAGAGACTACGGCACAGCCTACAACTAAGTCATTACAATTACTAAAGAAAGCCCGAAGGCTGATGGACAAATTAAAACTATTGAGGCTGAAATGCTGAAAACCTGACTTGTGAATGAATGTAAACAATAACGTAACCTCAAAATAAATGTCAGTTCACTCCAGGCTGCCAATCTCGTGGTGAAAAATTAGATGACACTAAAATCAATTTTTCGAATGACGAAGTTTCAATATGATCGAAATAAAAAAAGAAATTATATTACGAGAAAAATAACGATGATTTGTGCTTGAAGTATATTTCAAGTGCGATGCTAAATAGACTACATAGGATAAGTATATAAGTTTTCAATTGCAGGGAAAATTTTCGTATTTAACAGACTGGCTTACTGACTCGGAAAAGTCGATAAGATTGGTCACTGCCAAAGGCGGTAAAATACACGATATTCGAATGAGCGCTCTTTTACCGCACCATAGTGTGAGAAGGCGGGAGGGGATAAGTGCCGATCATATCCATCCGGGAACGGCAGAAATAAAAAACTGATTTGCGATGGCTGAAAACTAAAAAAGGTACCCTTCATATTCCCAACCGAGACCTCTCAAGACCTGGGTCAGTTCCAATGGGAATTTTTACGTTTTACCATGATTTACGTCGGTGAAATTGATAGGTAGTGCGAAATAAGTGAGTACCGGAAAAATAAACCAATATTTAGGATAATAAATATGATTCATAGTTATCAAGCGTCTATGATACCTACGGTGTGATCCAAGGACACGCATCACCCCGATTAATTTTCAGTAAAGCAAGTTGTCAAGTTGTCGAGTATGGGGCAGCCCACGGCACGGCAATGTCTTTAAAAAAACTAAACAACAATATATCTTATTAAAATGTTTTACGATTTTTCCTCATTCATTTCGAATATACTAGTTCACTCACTGGAAAAAAAAATACATTGGATCTAGAGTCCGCAGACTCTTAAAAACATCGACAAGAAAAAATACTCTTGATTCAATCGGATTTTTGTTTAAATCAAGAACCATGCCTCTTAATTTGAGCGGATTTCCTTTTGATTTAAGCAAAACTCTGATTGAATCAAGAGTATTTTTTCTTGTCAATGTTTTCAAGAGTCTGGACTCTAGATCCAATGTGTTTTTTTTCCAGTGCTGAAAAGTTTATCGGGGTTTCGGGAGGAACATTTTTTTGCGTATCATATAGAGCAAACAAAATTGTTTCCGACCTTGCAGGAAATCTGTTCCGATGAATGTACGTAATCAGTATAGTATTTTTTTTAATTTCATTTTTATTTAAAAAAAAAACTTTTCAAATGTGATTCTTAAGTAAAATGCACTTTCTACATTTTTGTACCAATGCATTTTCTCTGATACGACGTGTTTTCCTCGAAAAAAAAAATCAATTTTTGATCATAGGAACGGATGATCATTGGTAAAAATTGAAAACTCGAGATTTTTGTAAAAACAAAAACGAAAAACAAAAAAAAGACGTTAGAGTAGGCTCTAGAAATGGTCCGATCGGTTTCAAACTGTACAGGATTTTTTTGTTTGTAATGACGCCGTATGTAATGGAAACCAACCAACCATGTATGGAGCTGAACGTCACCAACTTTACTTATTTAGTGTACAATTTAGCCGCACCATAATGGGCAGTATTAGGGAGATTTCCAAGGAGACTTCAACGCAAAGGCAAGAAAATGGAGGTCTCTTGCAAACATATTTCTTTAGGCTAATTCTGGTTCATGTGATTCATCGATGTGTGTATTGTTTACATGGACATGGGCAGTATTAGGGAGATTTCCAAGGAGACTTCATGCCGTTTAACCCGGTCCATTTGAAAACAGTCTCCAACACTAGCCTTCCTTACCCTTTTAAAGCGACCCAATAGGCATATTGCAACAAAAAAAAAAAATTCAGAAGAATTTATATTTTAATACATGAATTGCTCAATTAAATTTGGTAATCGCTGATGTGACTTGGTTCTTTCCTGTTTAACCCGGTCCATTTGAATACACCGTCTCCAACACTAGCCTTCCTTACCCTTTTAAAGCGACCCAATAGGCATATTGGAACAAAAAAATTCAAAAGAATTTGTATTTAAATGGGTACAATCAAAATTCAATTTTTTACGATGAAATTGCAATATTTTTACATCAAATCGATGACCTGAGTGCGAAACCGTGTATCTCCATTGGGATATTTAAAAATTTTGGCTCTAACTCCATTTTTTTCGAAGAGAAATAAGGCAACTCTATGACTTGAAATCAATCAATAATATTTTGCAAACGCAGACGAAAACTCAAGGAAGTTTTCACGAAACTGCGTTGACTAGTTTTCCGGAAAAAAAATATATGATAGGAAGTCTGCAACGCCGCAAACGGAGATAGGTGGTTTCGCGCTTTGGTTATTGGACTGCATTTTACAATTTGGAACTATAAATTCTAGCCCGGTTTAAAAACGACGTATGTGCCATTAGTTTCCCTATGTACGTAAGTGTTTTTCCAGAAGAGCCAGAATTTATAATTCCGAATTGCAAAATGCAGTCCTATTGATATGGTCTTGGTCTATAAAAGCCAATTTTACACGATCAATGAAATGAATTCCTTAAATTTGAAAAATGACGATGGTCAAAGTACGAAACGACGTATCTCCGTTGGCGAAGACCCAATTTTTTTTTTTGGGNGGGGGGGGGGGGAGGGAGAACGTAATTTCTTGAGAACTTTCTTGATTTTTCCTCCATGCTACCAGCATATCGACGGTGAAACTACCAAACCACGTATCTCGTTTGCGGTGTTCAAAAATCTCCGCTCACATTTTATTTTTTTGAAGTAGACCAAATCAATATCATTCCTTGAAATTTTCACGGAATTTTCTCCGCACAGAGAGGAAAAATCACAGAAATTTTCAAGATTGGATGTTAAGTAGGTTTTCATTTAAAAAATAAAGTATGACAGGAAGTCTGCGACGTCGCAAACCGAGATACGTGGTTTGGTAGTTTCACCGTCGATATTCTGCATGAATTTCAAGCTACATAGTCGGCTAGCTTCCCCTCGAAAAAATAAAATAGGGGCGCAAATTGTGAAACATTGCGATGCAGATGCGTGGTCTCCAACTTTGGCCAAAGATGAGCATTTCGCAATGAAAAAAAAACGAAAAAAACAAACACTGAAAAAAAAAAACTCCGGCCATGAAAGCCGTACAGGGCCTAGATAGACATATCGTCCGCGTCCCGGGCTCAGAGGCCGAAAGTTCCGGGCAGGGTCGGACTGGCTCTCATCTGAGGGTATAGACCCTTGGCTGGTTAAAGGGACCCAGGAGGGCATACCCCCTACGTGGGGGGAGGAGGGGGGGCTCAGAAAATGTTGGCAAAGCAACACAAGGTTACGCTATTCTCAGGTTCAAAGTTGAAAAGAAAATATAAGAAAAAAGAAAATTATAAAGAAAATTTGCCAACTTGAACGTATTGAAGTAATCGATAGACTTTGAAGTTTAAAAAAAAAAAAAAAAAAAAAAAAAAAAAAAATTAAAGCTACTAGACGCATTCAAGCACCATTATTTTCAACGGAACTGAGCAAGAGCTGCGGTCCAAGAGCGCCCTAGATGTGGATCTGCAAATCCATCCTAAAAAAGAATCAGACGTACACCTGAAAAAAAAGGATCGAGTCTCAGCACAGTTGAAGATAGGAGAGTACTCGGGCTGACAGCATAGCGATGCATTGCATTGAGAGTTCTCGCCTCGCGCTAGCGCGCCTTCAATTTTTCAGACGCAACACGGACATCCATCAAGTACGAATAGTTGTATCTCTGCGCCGTCAGCTATGCGCGTCCTTTTCCTTGCTCTGTTTCCGTATTCCGTATTGTGTTGGCTCCGTTTATTTAATTTGACCTGACCATAATATATGAAAAATGATAAAAGCTAGATAAGGTAATTTTTTTTATACAGACAATTTTTTATTTTTTTATATAACGCATGCATACGAAAGTGTTAAAAGTGAACATTTTTAAGTAACTATCATATAGAAAAAGGTCATTATTTTCATGAGCTTTTCGCGAATTAGAAGATTTTTCAGTATGTTTGTGAAAAGCTCACGAAAATTATGACTTTTTTATGTAATGGTTACATAAAAATGTTAACTTTTAACACTTCCGTATGCATGCATTATGTAAAAAAACTATAGCCCGGCTGTATAATTTTTTATCGCTTCGTGTAGCCCGGCCGTATAATTTTTTCCACTTTCTACAGCCAGCTATATGATTTTCTATCGCCCTCTTCTGTCGGCTATAAGAACTCCTATGGTATTTTGAAACGCAGATCCTGTCGCCAATTTTTACCAGGATTAATACATGACTTCTTTTGTAAATGAACTGCAATAAGACGTTTTACAGGGATATAGAATTAAATTTCATCCAAAAGTTTTGTTTCTTATTTAAATTGATCTTATTCTTGTCTTACAAACATTTTCTGTGACTTGTAGTAATAGTAGTATTTTCCTGTTGGGAAGAATGAACTATGTTAATATACTTATTTCTTTTCAATGTACAAAACAAACAATTTTTTGATACAATATTGTACATACACAATTTTATTCAATATATATCGAGTAACATCTTGAGAGACTCGCAAAAATTAGGCAACTATGGCATACGTGTAGCGAGGATCACCCATTAAACATGCTCCATTTTTGAATATTGCATGACCCTGAAACAAAGATAAATATCCCTTGTCAGTGAACTACGTGGCTATTCGAGCAGAACAGTGGCGTGGCGTGAATGATCGATTATCGGTATTTCCGCATTTGAATCCTTGGTAAAGAATCGATTATTAAGGTGTTCGTTACGAACACCCTCTTAATCGATCCTCTTTCCGCATAGGTATAAATGACAGATCAATCGATACATCGCAAAACACACCATGCCACCGGAGCAGAATTAATTGAAGTTGAAAAATGTTCATGGTTAAAATATAGGAAACACGTAAATGCAAAGCTCCAAAATCTCAAATGATGCTTTATTCCCATAGGTATATAGGAAGAATCAGTGAACGTTGGTTTTGAAATTGTTATGGAAAATCAATATGAAGGACGGTTTTCGTAATTAAATAGTATCATTAGCGTTGAAGTGGGGATTATTTGAAAATTCAGATTAATTTTCAAAATAAAAAGAAAGAAAAAGTCACCCCATTGCTTGTAAAAAAGTGGTGCAAATAAAGTGGTGCAGTGGCGTGGCGTGCTTTGCGATACATCGATTGATCTACCATTTAAACCTATGGAAAAGGATCGATATGTAGGTCTAGGGTGTCCGCAGTGGACACCTTAATAATCGATTCTTTACCATAGCCTCAAATGGGGAAATATCGGTAATCGATCATTCACGCCTCGCCACTGAAGTGGTAGTCTAAGTGGCTAACTGTATAAATGAGTTCCAACTGATCTGACACTTACTTTTATGCCCCATGCATCACCATAACTGTTTCGAAAGATCCAGTTCCCTATAATTAAGAAAAAAATAGTAATTAAAGTTCGAAGTCCTAAGAAAAAACGTTTTTAGCCGTAGGAAACTTTGAGGAACTTTTAATGATCGATGCTATAAAAATGTAGGCGTTTTCTGAGGAACTGCAATTTCCATCGTGATAAGCATCTGTTCACTCACACTAGGGGTTGTAAGTAGGCTTTTGGAACATCGAATGTGTTCCTCGTACTTCTCCAACCCTTCAAACACACTTAGGATTTCAGGGGAATGTGATTTCTGGGGAATCGAATCCACTGTAGAAACTCTCGAACTTTACATTTTATACCTACATTTACAACAAATAGAAAAAAAGGCGAGACTCACCTTCTTTGGTAACACCAACAATGACACCACTGTGATCTACGTTACCGGTGCAAGATTTTGGATTGAACAGTCCACCCTTATAAAACTGAAATTAATAAATAAATTAGTAAACGCTTTACAAGACGTTTTTCATTTCCTCGTAAAATTTCCTCCTAGAGGCACCCCTTAAAATTTAAAATGTAATGGAATAAAAATCAAAATTTGCAGTTTTAGTCAACAATTTCATGTCCGATCTCTCTAATTGATTCGATCCACCGTGTGTCAGTTGAAAATGGTACCATTTGGTACAAAACAGCAGCGAGTGCGGCTCCCTCACAGTATAATGCAGACTTACTGCTGCTTCATGGAAATGACGACGATTTCTGCGCACTTAGTTGGCTGTCCGAGGCAAAAACGCTGTGCTTCAATTAGGATATTGCATTGTTCTTCTACCAATCATGTTCAATTGCAAAAAACCTAACAGTTATAGGACATTTCGTCAACATTTTTTAGTACCTAGTTTACGTCCACAAGTTTTTCGGCAGGGGAGTTTTGGTCCTTTTACAAATTGAGACCCAAAGTTAATTGGTCCGCATGCAAATACAAACAACAACTGCTCACCACGTTGTTGGATGAAAGTGTATACTTTCTTGGAAGAATGAGGGTTTATTTGTTTGTTTGGTCCAACGGAGAAAAATATATAATTGAGATTTTTGGTTAAAATGGGGAGGCGTCAATGCCATGAGGGAAAATTCACTAAAACTCTCTACACCTCTTTGGTGCAAAAGGACTTAATTATTTTCAAGAGAATCCCATCTTGTTAAACTTGAAGAGGGTATACCTTTTGATTTGCCTGAGTTAAAGGCTCTTAGATTTTTCCTGTGTACGATAACTTCGCAACAGCGCTGGCGGTCCGCGGCGCCTCGAGCTACTACCTATTTCGACACGGAGGTGTTGCACAGTATCATACAAGACTGAAGGCACCTAGGTGCCTTCAGTCATGAAGGTTGCCAGGTTGCCATGTCATTAAAGAAGCCATCAATCATGATACGCTGCAGCGTATCATGATTGATGGCATCTTTCAAAAGCACAAAGTTCCCTTGCAAATTAAATCGAGTGAGAGCAGACAAAACAGCAACAAATTGAGAGCGGTGAGTCCTACTATATGTATTCAATAAAGTTTAGCATGATTTTTGAACTTCATTAGAGGAAAAAGTGCCTTGATGCAAGCAGAAAGTTACTCGAATTTTCCGCCGAAAAGATTTCCTCATGAATTAATAAAGAAAATAATGCCTGTTTAAAGCAGAAAAGATGCTTACATAAAAAGAATTGCCACTTACATTATAAAACAGAAACCCGTTTTCATTCATCTATTTTACTCTCAGTTCAAAATAAAATCTTCTTGACAGCATACTCAAGTTCTGCCTAAATCGAATCACTCTTTTCTATAAAGAAATTCAAAAATTATGCAAAACGTTATTAATACGGATGCTAGGACGAAAAATCTTGATAATATTCTGCGAGGGAAGCTCCGTACTCTCAAAGGATGCCTGTCATCCTTAATATGTTGAAGCGCCTTCAATTTCGTATGATACTGTGCAACGCCTCTGTAGTGCTTGAGGCACCGCGCGCCGTGGCACGCTGGGGCCGGCCGGCCAGCGCATAACGCGCATGTGCGCCTACAAACCTAAAGGGATACTTCAAGCATTACGCAATGCGTGAAGTGTCCCTGTAGGTTTGTAGGCGCCAGTGCGTGTTCCGAGCTGGCAGCACGCCGTCGACTTGACTTAAAAAAAGACTAAAAAACCCCCAATGTTTTTATTCTTTATGACTGCAGGGTAGTAAAATTTCATGAAAAGTAAAATCTTGGAAGTTTAGTGAAATATTTCATGATTTTCAGAAATTTATGGAAGATATTGAAAAATACCGGTTCGTTTTCATGTTTCGCAAAATGTAAAAATCGCTACTTTCTTCTATTTTTGTGTGTTCGAGTGCGGGGTGCACACTCTAACCCATGAAAAAAAGTTCTCTCCAGTTGATCACTGGGAGAAAAATATAAAATATTTCACTGCCTCGTGAGATTTCATGGAATATTTCACTGAAATATCCAATCTTTCATTTCTTTCTTACGTTTCATGCCGCCCTATTTATGAGCAGCCGAGCGGCCTCTACCATCGTAACACATACTACCGTGCTAAGCAAAAATGCCGTATGAACCTTCATATATCATATCCTTGATAAAACACGAATTTCTTGGTATACATATGAGTATTTTTCTTCCAATTTTTCATTTGATTTTGTTCACAATGTCACCTAAAGTTCCTGAAAATTTCAAGGAAACATATTCATAAACTGCCTGAGAATAAACATTTTATCGAAGGAAATTTGGCAACTCTCGAACGTTCAGACGGCCTTCTTCCTTATGTGCTGGTTACACGCTCAAATTTCCATCAATTTCCGATCAAATGGTGACTGGTGCGCAACTGCGCACCATCTACCATCAAATTTCTGCGGCCTGCACAAATTTGATGGTAGATGCTGGAGCTGTGGGGCTCATCCTTCATCTGATTTCCACACAACCGTGCTTATTTCATGTTTATTTCACGCTGTTTTAATTAATTTTACCCATCAATCTAGATAACTCTCGACCGCCATCTTGGTCATCGTTTTGATCGGAATTTGACGGAAACTTGAGCGTGTAACCAGGCCATTAGCACGGCAGATGTGGAAGATTCACCTGTCCATAATTGCCATCGGGGAAATGGAAGGCAACGACCACGGGGCTGGTCTGAAGAGCCTCGATTATGGCTTTGGTGCCCCCGTTGACCTCGATGACATCCCTGAGGCGCCCTGCAACAGACTTGTCGCGTTTGCATGTTCCGTTGGCCCCCGTGAACGGGTACTCGTCATCGAACGTCACTCCATGGTCCTTCAGGTATTCCAGCCCAACCTTGATTGTTCCGCCATCACAGCCGTCGTTGCCCGCCACGCAGTCGATTAGCTCTAGTACCAACAATACAGCATATATTTTTAGACAGTAGAAAAACAAGGGGGAAACCGGGAAACAAGGCTAAAATACACAATTAAAAACCGAGACGTTCCGACTTATAACTGAGTCATTTTTAGGCGGAAATGTTACAATAAAAATTAAAAAACGATGAAAAACCCTGGGCCGGATTGAGGGGGTGGCCACATGGGCCGCGGCCCATGGCGGCAAATCTATAGGGGGCGGCAAATTTTGATTTTTTTTTAAATGTAGGTATAGAAAATTCGAATTAAGAAAAAAAAATTACAAACGAGATAAGGCGACAAAATCTCTAATTTTCTGAGAGTATAGTAATTTCTACTTTTGTCGTCTTTCAGTGATACACGAGACAGCACCTTTAATTAGTCGAGTCAAGAGAGAAACAAAACACGCAATTTTGCCTAGAACGGCGCGACTTAGAGATAAACGATGACGAGGACTTGAGATGAAAAGGAGAAGCCCTCGACGCGGCGATCGGCATGTAACACATATTAGCCCCTACATGACTGCACAAATATTTCACGCATTGCGGCAAACACAGTCCGATCAGCGTGAAACGCATAGCCCCTACAAGACTGCGTGAATACTTCACGAATACCTCAAACACAGTGCGTTCAGCCGGTCGGCGTGAAACTTATAGCGCCTACAAGATTGTCGAAATACTTCACGCATTGCGCCAAACACGGTGCGGTCTGCGCGGCGCGGAAGTTAAAATCATTACTCCACATTTATGTTCGTTCTTTCATAATTTTGTCGCCCATTTCCTATGAATGGAAGGCCTTGTCCACACAGAGATAGGTTTACGAGACTTTAACTTTCGCGCAAAGTTCCGTGAACTTTCGCTCGTAGTGTTGACAGGGCTTTCCCAAAAAATGTGTTCAACACAAGTAAACGCGTCTTATTATGCACCCCTCCTCCGCTGGCACGTTCATTTGATGGTTTTTATTGATGTTTCAAAACGAATGAGAAGGGGGTGGCAAAATACAGGCGGCCCACGGGCGGCAAGTAGGTAGATCCGGCCCTGGAAAAACCTGAGTTCTACATGGTGGGCGGTGGGCGTTGAAATCTGAGAAAATCGATAACCTGGCAGGTTATCAATAAAAGGTTATCAATTTTCTCAGATACCGACCACCACTATTTAGGGCTCAGGTTTTTCAATTTTTATTGTAACATTTCCGCCTGAAAATGACTCAGTTATAAGTCGAAACGTTTCGGTTTTTTAATTGTGTATTTTAACCTTGTTTCCCGGTTTTCCTCCCTTGTTTTTCTACTTTTACCATTGTCTTGGGCTGCTCCATAAAAACTTGTATCTATATTTTTAGAAAGAGGCCGTATAAACTGCATTAAATTTTGCAGTCAAAAATGCAGCGGAAGTGGAGGCAAACTTCAGATGAACTACTGGTTCTTTACTACAACTTCCCTATTGGTAAAGTACCTAGTTTACAGGCTCAATCACAGGTCATCACAGCGAATTTCTGGTTAAGGTGATTCGATGGACGCCATATTTTGGGTCAGAACGGCATGCGATATATCGCATCGATTGGTTCCATTTTTTCAGCTACTCATCATTTTTCTCCAATTTTGAGATCGCAATTCTGTTGTCAGGAGACTAAAGCACTTACTTACCAATTTTAACAAAGAATTTCAACGTATAGGAAGATTTTCGATAATATTTGAGAAAATATTGACGAAATTGCCACTTATCACGTACAAGAGAGGATTTGAGAGATCATGACGTAATTTTTATGAGGTCGTAGACCTGCGAATTGGATGCGTGACACAGGCGATTTTGGGAGGATGCGCCGCGGCGGCGGCGCATCACGCAACTCTGCACGCATCGTTGCACACGCAACGATCACACTGTGCAACGCATTCATGCAGACGCCTGGCATGGATGCAACCATTCCAGCTGAAGAGATGTCCCGGTCGCATACATGAAAAAAAGAAGGCGCTCCGTTCTTTTCGACTATACTCGACGCGGTAAAGGACTGCGTGTAATCAAGGTCGAAACCCAGGTCTGTCCGATAAAAAGATGTTCTTTGGAATTTTCCAATCTGGCAACGAATAGATAATTTGCCGGTGTCTGAAATTTGATGAATTTCGTTTTTAAGTGGAAATTACTGTGGGAACTGAACACGAGGACACCCTTCGTTCATAAATTGAACAATTATTGAAGAAGATATGACAATATGATCTAATCTGCTAAAATACGTGTGCTTAAATGGGAAATGCCGCCAGATGACGTCACTAGGCGGTGTGTTTTCTCGCTTTTAAATATATTTTTATACTGTTTCCCATTGGAAAAAAATTATAAAAAATGCTGTGAAATCAGCTCTTTGAGCACTTTCAGACGAAGCAATAAAAAATTTGCATGCAAATCCTTCATTCCCCTGATTTGCTGTTTCGATACTTTCCAAACGTTTCCCCTATTTGCACAAGACCAAGGTAATCGGATCGGGCGGACTCGGGGGAAATCGTGGGACTCTTTTGGCAACGTGAGCAGTCATCACCCCGGTTTTGTAAAGATCTTTGCACTCTCCTCTGACGGACTGACCTATGGGTCTATTGACGTCAGCATGTTGCGCCCATCTTACCATGGTGCGTTGGGTTCTCACGCTGACCTGGTAGCATTACTGAAAGAGAATAGAAACTAGAGCGACAGCTGAAGATTAAGTTTTCATGGTGCAAAAACAAATTCAAGTCGCTATTTGCTCCGGGCAAATGTATAGCCACGTTAAATTTACAGAACTTAAGCAGCACATGAAAATATACAGTGGGTCCTTTTCATGCTCGCATTGATTGAACACCGATTACCAGCACTCGCTAAACGCCCTCCAATTTTAATCATCACAATGCAAAAATTCAACTGCGTTCCCGCCACAAAAAGCCTGTGAAATAACCCATGAAACAATAGGGCCCGAATCAACAATTCATCCGGCTGTCTCGGTCACCGCACAGTGGATCGAGTTGATTAGAGAGGTCGGATTTTGAAATTTTTATCTATAACCGCAAATTTTGATGTTTAATTCGTTACATTTTAAATTGTAAGAGATACCTTATGGAGAAAATTTCACAATGAAACCAATGAAGCCACTTTTAAAATCCCAAAGTTTTTATTTAATAAAGTTATAAGCCTTTAAAGTTTCCCAATTTTGTCCGACCTCTCCGATGGAATTGATCCACCGTGCGCCGATTAAAATAAGCGCGCCAATGCATAGCGCGCTTACAATACACGTCAAATTAAAGACATAAAAAAAACTAATCTTACCTTGTTCGGAGAATCGGAAGAGTTTCTTGACTCTTTGAGCCCAGAGAACTTCCATAGCACCGATGCAAGCAAATGCCCAGCAGCTACCGCACGTATCACCCTGTGAACATAATTTCAAGTTCAAATCCTGACTGTTTGTCAGTGATGCCCTTAAATATAAGAAAATAGTATTCGGGGTGAGCTTATGATTTGATTTCTCACAATTTGTCTTTAATGGAGCATGTATGATGTCACTTTAACAAAATTTCGCTTATAATTTGACTTAATTCTATCAAACGGAACCACGTGCATTATGACGTGAGCCCTGCTATGTACATATTCTTATGGATTTCAGGGGTCATATTTTAATGCACATAGTTCCGTTTGATAGAAAAACGTCCAATTGTTAATTTTTCATGATGAAATTAACTCACAATCAGACTGCATATTCGATGGTCAATACTTCCGTTTAAAGTCATTCTTCAATAATTCAACATTCGTCCCTTTGGAACTATTAATTTAAGAGCTTTTTTACGTGTTACTCCTGATAATTTAACGCATATACGGGAAAGAGGTTATCTAAAATGAAAAGTCTTTGTAGCTCGTCTACTACTACTCTTGTGTAACCCTTCTATTTGCCTCTACCTTGACAGAATGGAGGAAAAGACTGCACGGACCAACCTGGTTCTTTATTTTAGGGTAAGTTTCTTGCGGATCCCGCCAATCGATTTCACTGATGGGGTCCTCTTGAGCTTTGAGCTTCCTTTTAGATGTCTCGCTTTTTGGGGAAGAGGATGCGCTTGCTTCATCGGAAGATTGTGTGCTTCCCACTGACCCGGTTGGAGACAAAGAGGGAGATGGGGAGGCAGTCTCTATTCGCGGTAAGAGAGAAACGATAAATCAAAAAACAAACAATTGAAATACAAATTTCCTGCAAAATATTACTTTACTCAGAGGACATACGACAGGAGACCTATGTAACAGCTAGCTTGAAAGTTCCAACAGACAGGAAACTAAGTACCTAAGTTTTTGCTATGGGGCCGTATCATAGTTGTTAAGAGCATTCCAATGTCGCTAACCTTGCAAACATAAACGATCATCTAAACTAGTTTCACCTCTACTCCCAATAAACTATGAATTCAAGACGAAAATTACCGTCGCAAAGTTTACTTTTTGCAAAGAATGTACTTAAGTTGCACAATCCCAGCAACATTGAAATGTTCTTAGTTCCTTTTTGCAAAATGCAATCCAATTGGTTGTTGCTGCAAAAAAATAGTTTCCCACAACCTGCTATACAATGCTCCAGTGACCATGTAAGTTGGCCCGAGCACTAACTTTTCAGGAAGAAAGCCTTTCCCCTACCTGGTTTCTCACTTAATATCCGCCCGAGTTTCGCATATCTTCCGTTTCTCCTCATCGCAGCTTCCATCAAACCGCAATTGCCCGGAAACTAGGACCGCACATCTTATCTGATAAAATCCTTTAGACCGATTCTGGGGGGTTAGGCTAGACTAGTCGATGAGTCAACTGTTGATCTAATTTCATTACGTGAAGAAGAAAAACGGGGTAAAAAATCACTTTTAAAAGATCAATTTTCAAGGACAATTCTGTAATTTCTCCTACGATTTTAAATAGATTAAAACGCGTAATATCCAAAATCTAAGCTTAGATTCGGATTCCTTGTGAAAAACTGATGCGATTTCATGCATCAAATTTTAGAATAGCGTGAAGGAAAGAGGTTTAATGACGTAAAAAAACACTAATGTGTGGTCAATTTTCCAGGACAATTCTGTAATTTCTCCTACAATTTTAAATTGATTAAAACGCGTAATATCAAAAATCTAAGCTCAGATTCGGATTCCTCGTGAAAAATTGATGAGATTTTATGCATCATATGTTAGAATAGCGTGAAGGAAAGAGGTTTAATGATGTAAAAAAACACTAATGTGTGATCAATTTTCAAGGACAATTCTGTAAATTCTCTTACGATTTTAAATAGATTAAAACGCGTAATATCGAAAATCTAAGCTCAGATTCGGATTCCTCGTGAAAAGTTGATGAGATTTCATGTATCATATGTTAAAATAGCGTGAAGGAAAAAGGTTTAACGACGCGAATAGATTCTGTCGTACTATTCGTTTGAACTACGCCGCCGCGCGGGTCGCCCGAGTGAAACCGAGCGGGGAGACGCCGGCCGGCGCTAACATTCAGTTTCGTCCCGAGGAATTTCTCACGATAAATTCTTATTCTTCCTCCTCCGCTGACCCACTGAGCACTACCCATGTTGCCACGTTGTATTCATATGCTCGACTCAGTATATCTACGTTACGTCTCTTTCCTTCACGCTATGCTCGGGTATGATACATGAAATTGTATCAATTTTTAACGAGGAATCCGAATCTGAACTTCGATTTTGGGTATCACGCGTTTTAAGTCAAATTTTCCAAATTCGAAAATCTGAAATGACTGACGTGGCTTAAAATGCCATCTCGGCTCCTGTTCGATGGATTTTCCTGAAATTCGGTGTCAGGGTATGATACATGAAATCGCATCGATTTTTTACGAGGAATCCGAATCTGAACTCCGATTTTGGGTATCACGCGTTTTAAGTGAAAGTTTTCAACTTCAAAAATCCGAAATGACTGAAGTGGCTTAAAATGCCATCTCGGCTCCTGTTCGATGGATTCTCCTGAAATTCGGTGTCAGGGTATGATACATGAAATCGCATCGATTTTTTACGAGGAATCCGAATCTGACCTTAGATTTTGGGGATCACGCGTTTTAAATCAAAATCTGTCAAATTCAAAAAATTCAAAATTCGAAAATCCGAAATGGCTTAAAATGCTATCTCGGCCCCTGTTCGATGGATTTTTCTGAAATTCGGTGTCAGGAGGTATTTTTCGACGGGAAACTCGAATTTTTAGTCCATTTTTTAAAATTCTCAAATTCAAGATGGCGGACGTGGCCTAAAATGCTATGTCGGCTCCTGTTCGATGGATTTTTTTGAAACTCGGTGTCTGGGGGTATTTTTCGACAGGAAACTCGAATTTATACTATGTTTAAAAATTCTCAAATCCAAGATGGCGGACGTGGCCCAAAATGCTATGTCGGCTCCTGTTCGATGGATTTATGGCGCTTCCTTACTACATGCCTACTCTTGTATTTCTGTACAGTCGCAAATTTAGGGTCAAGGGGCGCCTGACCGTCTATGGACCAGGTGGAGTCTTTGTCCTGAAAATGTACCTTTAGACGGCAATTCTCTTTATATTCTGTCGATGGTTTTTATGCCCCCCCCCCTTTCTCGCGGACTATCTTTTCACTTTTCTTGCCTCCTTTTTCCTTCCATTTCCCCCCTTTTTCCTTGCTTTCACTGCCCAACCTTGTTACCTTTTCCTTTTTTCCCCTTGTCCTTTCTTCCCTTTTTTCCCTTTTCCTTTTCCCCCTTTTTTTCCCTCTCTTCTTCTTTCGTGGCGCCCCCCAAAGGCTGGCGCCCGTGTGAGCGCCGCACGCCCTGCACACGCCCTAAGTCCGGGCCTGGTTGTTCCTTAAACAGCCGTTTCTATTAAGAGGCCCCAAATGGTTTACACTGTGATTAAAGAGGGTTTAAAGATATCCTTAAAACAGCATCAGGAAAAGGATGATTTCAACAAAACACTTGTAAAATTAAACGGTATAACTTTGAGAATGGACCCCTCACGACGGATTAAAAAAAGTTGCCTCTACGAATAATTTTACAGGTTTTGAGAATCTGAAGGTAAGGTCGTACCATTCTCAAAGTTTGTCAAAATCATAGAATCTACTTATTCTTCCGTATTTTTTATTTGTTGAATTTGCAAATCACTCTTATTCCTAGTCCTAGTCTATTTATTCAAACTTTTTCTGATCATTTTTACTTGCCATCCGTTAGAATTGTACTTTTATGATGCTATGTTCAGGATCTCTAAAAATCTCCCTAAATCTTATTAAAGAACATATCAACATCCTTAGGTCAGGAGCTGTTTCAGGAACGATTATGTATACGGTTCCTCTTAGCACAGACCTATCTACGGAAGCGCAACGCCCCTTGAGAAAAGGGCAAGCGAGGCCAATCCGTCTCCCCAACGCATTCTGGATTCTACCTCTCTTAACTTTCTTTTCTACATGATCTGTTAAGAAAACTAATTATTTACAGAAAGTAGAAAAGAATTTATCATGATGCTCGAATGGTTCAAGATCTGTAAATGTTTACGGATTAAAAAAGAGTATGATATATTTTTACTCACCCCTAACTCACCTATTTTTCTCGAGGGTCCATTCTCAGTGTAAGAGCTTATGTCAGGCGATATTTTTTCAGGGTCCGTGCGACGGATGAAGATGACGTGGGAGGATGAAATTGATGCAGGTACCTGTTTTACCCTTCCATAATGATCTTCAAATGGCGCTCTTCGAGTGATAAGTTTTTCAACTGTTGACGGTGGTTCAAGCGAAGGGTGTCCAGGCAAATGGTACCGGGTTCTAAATTCATCTGCTGAGTCCAATGAACAGCGAAACCATCAATCAAATTGGAGGATTCAAACAATCTCATAAAAATCACATTAGGTATACTCTAGGTATAGTATAAAATCATAAGCGTACACTGGAAAAAAAAAGAATCTTAAATTAGCCGCCAAGAAGTATTTCTTCTTAAATCAAGAATTTTTCTGGTTAATATAACCTACTTTCTTGCTTAACCCAAGCATTACTTTTCTTGTATCAAGAAAAAGTCAGCTTAAAGCAAGAAAAAAAAATTCTTTGCGGCAAATTCAAGAATCATCATGCTTGATCCAAGCTACTTTTTTTCAGTGTAAAGCGTAACACCTGTGTGGGCGTGTCCTATACCATCTCAAATACCAATTTCACATAGAAATTCCTATTTTTGTGTAATCTGTGATTTCCCGTAATAATTACCTGCAATCCTCTAGGATTTATTAATTTTTTTTTCATCAAATGTGTCTCCTCGTTCATGTAGCAGACTTTTTAAAAATAAACATTTGATAGAGATAAATTGTAATCGAATATGTAGCTATGCGATATTCATAAAACATGTACCTCTTAGTGAGTAAATAAAGTAGTTTCCAGGGAGGTATAGCTTTGCAACTCGACGATGCAAATAATCCTCTCCTGGTTTTATCCTTTTTAAGAGTCTCGCATTTCGTCGCTCATCCTCTGACGTAAGGGCGTAACTTGATTTCTACGTGACCCCTGTGCTCCGTATAACTCTATGCTTTCTAAGGCTCATGCAAAAATCTAGATACGCCCTTACGTCAGAGGAGCGACGATTTGTCAGAAAAATGTTTTAAATGTATCTTAGTTATCGTATAATAAATCCAAGGAAGCGTACAACAAAGGCTGCAAATCAAAGGAATACGTGTCTCCGAGTTTCTGTTTATGTTATCGTTTATCCTCTTTTTTAAATCTACTTTAATCCATTTTTTCAAAAAAATTGAAACTCCCCTGGTAAAAATTGGCGATAGGAGCTGCGTTTCAAAATACCATAGGAGTCCTTATAGCCGACTGAAGAAGGCGATAGAAAATCATATAGCTGGCTGTAGAAAGTGGACAAAATCATACGGCCGGGCTACACGAAGCGATAAAAAATTAAACAGCCGGGCTACAGCTCCTGTCGCCGGGCGTTACACTTTATCGCCTGGCTGTTGCTTTTTCGCCATCGGCTATAAAAGGCTATAAGAAATTGTGTAGAAATTCGTGTGCTTTGTAAATCCGCAAGTTTGCACGGAATCACCATAATATTTACAAAACGCACATTGTATTTTCCTTTACTACATATTTGTTTTCATCAATAAAAATGAGAATAATCCATACAGAGTGTGCAAACATTTCAAAGTCATGAGTTGGACAACGCTGACTCCACGAGATTAAATATTAGAGCCCAACACGAAGCGGAGCGGCGGCGCACTGGCGCCTACAAACCTAACAGGGATACTTCACGCACTGCGCCATGCGTGAAGTATCCCTGTTAGGTTTGTAGGCGCCAATGCGTGTTTCGCGCTGGCTGCCCGCCTGCTGCGCCGCAGCGTGCCACGGCGCTTGAAGCAACTATTTCACACCAGAGGTATTGCACAGTATCATACGAAATCGAAGGCGCTCCAACATATTAGGAATGGCAGGCATCCTTCAAAAGTACGGAGCTTTCCTCGCAAAAAAATCAAGATACTACAGCCCAAAAAGAGAGCGGTAGTCCAAAAACTCACTAAGTCCTAGCATCTGTAATTACTAACGTTTAGTATACACTTTATCGCCAGGCTGTTACTTAATCGTCATCGGCTATAAAAGGCTATAAGAAATTGTGTTGCCGGCTATAGAAGCTATTGGAAATCTTACAGCTGGCTGTAGGTCTATGGTATTTTGGAACACAGATTCTACTGCCAATTTTTACCAGAGTCCTAATACAAGAACTGAAAGAATGTATTCTGCATGCTTACTTGTCCAATCAGTAAATGGTGTAATGCCAAAAGTAGTGCTTCCATTTGCTTCTTCATTGAGAGATTTAATTATCTTCAAGTTTTCCTGAAAAACTTTAAATCGGATCTTTTTTTCGAATTCCGTTTTATAACTTCTTCCGTGCCTTCTAATGAATCGCTCGAACTGTTCAGATGTAGTTCCGGTGACCTTGACCTTCAAAAAAAAATAAAATTGAATGGATGGGAATGGATACATACCCATTTGGGAAAATGAAAATTCCCCTTATGAAAATGTCCCCTGGCCTTAAACTTGGCCTATACCTCATACTCGTAGTCCCCTGGTATTCATACAGTAAGAGAGTATAAATTATTTATCCGCACTTAACATACGCGTGAAATCAATAGTAATAAGAAGGATGCTGACCTACAAAAATATGCTTCCAAGATGATTACGTTTAAAGTTTCATGAAGGTAGGTCCTCATACATTAGATACGCATCTATTAATACTATAATCTTATCCATTTCTTTCCATTCTTCATACCAACCGAACTAAGAAATACACGTCATTCAGCCACTGCACACTTGTGAGACGTTACTTTGTTTGGTAAAGAATTTTGAAGCAAATGTGTCGCATACCTGAGAGTTTTGCGTTATTGAAACTTAATTCTCCCCCTTATGGAAATCTGCACAATAGAAATGGGTCTCATGACCGATACATTTCCTAGTTTTATTGCATAATGCAATGGGAAAACGGAAGCGGTATGTGATTTTTTCAAGGATTGATGATGGAATCGGACTTCAAGTTTGCATACGGCTGGATTGTGTATGATAATACCCTCAAAATTCATGAAAGGGCAGGGCCGGATTTACCTACTTGCCGCCCATTGGTCGCCTGTATTTTGCCGCCCCCTTCTCATTCGTTTTGAAACATCAATAAAAACCATTAAGTGAACTTGCCGGAGGGGGAGGGGTGCACAAGACGCGTTTACCTACTCATATTGGATACATTTTTTGCGAAAGCCTTGTCAACACTACTAGTAAAATTTCACGGAACTTTGCGCGAAAGTTAAGTTCCGTAAACCTGTCTCTGTGTGGACAGGGTCCTCCATTTATAAGAAATGAACCAAAAAATTATGAAAGAACAAACATAAATGTGGTTTAATAATTTTAACTTCCGCCGCTGAGCCGCGCTGATGATCGCACTGTGTTTGGCGCAATGCGTGAAGTATTCATGCAGTCTTGTAGGCGCTAATATGTGTTACATGCCGACCGCTGCGGCGTGCCGAGGGCTTGTCCTTTTCATTATTTTCAAGTCCTCGTCATCATTCCTCTCTGCGCTAAGCTCCAGGCCAAATTGCGTGTTTAGTTCCTCTCTTAACTCGACTAATTAAAGATGCTGTCTCTTGTAATACCGAAAAACGAAAAAATTATAAATGTCTATACTCTCACGAAAGAGAGATGTTGTCCCCTTTTCTCATTGATAATTTTTTTTCTGAGTCCGATTTTTTTTATACCTACATTTAAAAAAATTGCAAAAGCCGCCATGGGCCGCGGCCCATATGGCCACCCACCCCCTTAATCCGGTCCTGTAAAAGGGAGGTAATTTTTTAAACAATTTTCACGGTATATCCTCAGGAATCCTTTTTGATACGTGGAAGACCAAGACCTCTCCCGGAAAAATGAAGCCTAGGCCATACCTAAAAAATTGCTCTGGCTATGCCGATGATTTTTAGTCGCATTTCTCGAGGAAATATTGGTCTTTACTTAAGAGTGAAGTTACCTTTTCTACTGAAGAGGCTTTGATAGCTTTGATGACGCCTGGAGACCAGATCTGAAGACAAAATAAAATTTCGAAAAATATTCACATTTTTGATACAACAACATATAAAAACAATAAAACTTATTCTCGTTCGTGAGATCAAGATATCCATATTGGAGAGAAAGAAATACACGCGAAAAAACATGTGAGGAATATTTGCAAGAATATATGTAAAACACTCAGACATCACAATTTTTTTAGTAATTCTTCGTGTTTAACTAAATTTATGCTCAACAGTTTCCAATTTTCATCGTTGGTCGGTGGCACCATGTTCAAGAAATGCACAAACATGATAACACCCCAGACACTATACAAGATGCAGTCATTTGCAATTACATGCTAAAGTTATTGATATTGTTTCGGAGTGTCGTATTATGTTGTCTATTCAGTAATTGAAAAAACTCTTCTTATTGAAAGTGCCATACAATTTAAATTAGATGGAATGTTTGTTGCACAACACACTGACTAATTTTCTCACACATGGAACTCATTTCATTGGTTGTTTAAAACACGAATGTACTGACCAAATGATGTAAAAATAGTTCAATTGCATGGTAGAACAAGTTGCAATGTTACTTCATTAAATTGCAAAATGATTTCAATATTTTCTTTGCGTTGTGCTGCTTGAGATGCAAACACGAAAAGAATGGTCAAAAAAATTATAAAGAAAACCACCGACTATCAATCCATGTACGTTCAAACAGTAGTAGCGTTTTCGGGGCTGGGAAAAATGTACCGACTCACATACCTTCGGTTTGTCCTTTAACTTTCCAACGTAGCAGCGCACGAGCGCAACTGTGTAAATCTGTAACAATCAAAATTTACGTCAGTTGCTGGCGAAAGCTAAAAAAATAAAATCCGCGGGAATTCTCTCGAGTCAAAATCTAATAAAAAATGGGTTTAATTCATGTTTTACTGGACGCAAGCAACGTGCTGACAGGGTTGGTTATCAAAATCATGGATACGATTTATTTTAAAAAGAAACTGAGCAAATATAAGAAAAAAGTTCACATACTTACCAAATGAATTACGTTCAAATTCCAACAATTCATTCCAATATATTTTCGGGAACAGACACCTTTTTCAACACAAAACACATCAAAACATAGATCACCGGGTTTTCTTTTGAAGCGTGCCTGTTTGTTCAGAATAATAGATTTGGGATGCGAATTTTTCCGAAAAATTTGTTTAGTGATGTACACATTTTTACACAGCAGTTTTTAACACTTAATGTCGGTTTTGAGAAGCTTAAAGCTGATGAGCCATTTCAGTGAACGTGGATACCTCCATAGAAAAATCACAGTTTAAACATTTGGAGCTGACCTTGATTCGATTCACATGAAATGGCTCGACAAATCGAGTGTTCGCTACGTAATTATTGGAACAAATGTTGCAACTGATGAACGCGTCGCACTTTAGCATCATACTTTTCTGGCACTCCTCTAGGATATTAATACAGGAAAGGAACATCAACGAGTTACAAATTCGATGTTGAATCATTGTTGAAAAAAATGTGCTGTGTGTTTTTTTTATTCGATGCTTAATGTTTTCATTCCTTATTTTTACTAGTTAAGGTGCTTACTATTTGCTTTAAAATGAAAGGCAACCTGACTCTCTAGAACACAAATTAAAGAGGACGTGTATGTTTTCAGTACATAATCGATTCGACTTTTATAATAAGTCTTAAAGTTTTATAGTTGACAGTTTCGGTGGCAATAATTATTGAAATCTCCTTGTACGAATAAGATCATGGAATTTCATTCTTTTGGGGATCGTATGGGGTCAGCACATACGAGCTTTAAATGGATTACATTTTGCAAAAAGGAACCACTATCTCTGGCTCTTCTATAAAAGCACCTTTCTGCATAGGGAAACCAATGGCAGATATGTTGTTTCTTTAATGAGCCAAAAATAGTGGTTCCTTATTGCAAAATGTAATCCAAATACAGGACTACAAATGGATCGCATTTAGCAAAAAGGAACCAGCGTGATCACAGTGTTGTAAAAAAGTTGCTTCTTCAGAATTATCTAAGACATCTCCTTGAATATAGTTCATCGTTTTTGCTTCCCACCAAAAAATTGTTAATTTTAAATGAAAGTAATTGTGTAAATTTTAATACTGTACATATTCTTTAAGTATTTTTATTCGAGCCTCGTTTTTTTTACTTTTCTCTTGGATCTGAGCGACACTTCAGTGACCAGCATACAGCAGTGAATTGCGAGTTCACGCCTAGCACCATCGCGCCTCCAATTTTGCGGATGCAACACGGATATCCATCAAGCACAAATAGTTGTATCTCTGCGCCGTCATTAACGCGAGTCTATTCTCTTGTTCTATCTCTATATTTTGTTTGTTTCCGTCTTATTTGTAGTGGTGTCTTAAGGGCTGCGTGAGCAACGCAGCCGTGGAGGTTAGAGATTTAATGGGGCCGGTATTTTAACTTTTCTCGCGAATCTGAGTAACGCATCATTGGCAGCATGGAGCGGAGCATTGCGAGTTCACGCCTCGCGTCATCGCGCCTTCAATTTTTGCCAATGCAACATGGACATCCATCAAACACGAATAGTTGTATCCCTGCGCCGTCATCAACGCGCGTTAAGGTGTCTGTCATTTTTGTTTGAGAACAGTTAAGGTTGAGTTTGCTCTAAGCACGCCATAATGTGTCCAGATCGATCGATAATCATTTTGAAAAAAGAAAGGGGGAAAAAGGTAAAATTGTTCTGAGGTCTCTCAAGCGTCCTAAAGGGTGCACGTCTAAAATTGGTATTTTTGCAGGTTAAGTCGTGACAGGGATTTTTTTCAATACGACTTTCCATAGAAATCCGAATTGAGTCAAATAAACCCAACCATCTCTCCTGAAGTAGTTTCATGTGGCGAATGAGTGGATGAGGACATAGAGAAAGCGCCAGGATGTTATCAAAAAGGTGAAAATTTTACACAAAGTAAGCATTTCTCACCTTAAAAAACATAGAGATAACACAGATAATACTTTACAAAAATACTTATTTTATACTTTACAATACATATATCGGGTCAATTTCCACGGGGGAAAAAATAAAATTGCTGATTTAAAAATTATGTGGTTTAAAAATGTGTCCAACATGTCTCAATGTAGATTTCACAATTAAAAAATGCTAATTTAACCGCCCCTGAAGTTGAATTAGCTTTCCTTTATTGTAAAATGTACATTTGAAATGTCAGACATATTCTTGAACAATTCAATCGTTAAATCAGCAATCCATTTTTTTCCGTGAGGCCCGACTTGAGACTTAGCTTTTAAAAAGTCTTAGACATCTAAGGGTTAATTAGGACCATAGAGTACATAGAGTCGTAATGTAAATGGGAGAGCTGGCGCCATGCTCTGCTCGACGAATTCCGAGCCCGGTGTGCGCCGAGTTCGGATCGCTTTTTCGATACATTTTCGATCCAAAAGGGCGGTGTGGAATACGTGGTAATTCCTATCTCCTTTGTTGTTGTTGTTTTCATCGGATGGCCGGGTACCCGTATATCGCAAACAATCGATTATGTATCGAAAAAAAGACCCGGCGTCACACAGGAGTCTCGGAATTCGGGACATGGAAAATGCTTAAAAGTGGCGCCAGCTCTCCCACTTACATTACGACTCTATGTACTCTATGATTAGGACGAACGGACATGACCATAGACGCGTTTAATCACGATTTATTCACATAGTTTTACGATACAACGAGTAAGGAACAAAGGATAGAATTTACAGTGAATTTACAATTTCAAACGATTTACATTTGCTGAAACTCCCCCAGATGGCGCTTGAATGGAAAACATTTCCGCACCTATCCCGGGAACTTATCATTTCTCCGGCGTTGATGCTTCTCTGTTGGCAGTGACGACCATCATCTCATTAATGAACTCGAGCAATCTTGAGAAAGTTCCTTTTCTTAGATTGTTGAATGACTTTCCTGCGTGGAGGAAAAAAAAATCAAATGATCAATCAATTTCAAGAAAGTATAAGCGCTTTCCTTAATACGCAAACATTGATAAACAAAGAAAAATGCTACAAATCAACTCATGGTTGAGAGTCTAATTTTTGCTTTAACTTGAAGCCTGATCCTATAGATAGCAATTCTAGCAAAAATTTGTGATTCGATTGCTATATTATTGCGATTTCATCGACGAAAATAGGCTGCAATATTTATTATCTGAGCCAAAAATCCCCATTTTTCAGTGAATCGACTAAGCCTCGCAGTCTATCAATCTTTGGTGGAGTTAATAGATGAGGCGTGTGAAATCAGAGGGAAAAAAAGAAGAGATGGTGAAGCAGAGGAACAAAAGAAGTGAAATGAAATAGGGAAAAGGGAAAAAGGGGGAGAAGAAAAGGAGTTAAGGTAAAATAAGGCAGGAAGAAGAAGAAACAGTCACCTACCGCCGTACAAAATTGACTGAAATTTTACATTTCCGGAGAGTTAATAAAAAATACTACCAAGCGTGAGGATAGTAGCATTTTCATTCGTAAAATGAAAATTTCTCAACATTTTCCTAAGTCTTGGGTACGATTTAGGCAACACTTTTATTCACGGGTGATTATACGACTATACGTTTGGTGATTAGGGATCAAGATTACACCGCTATTTGAAAAGCCACGTTGGGCGCAATGCCACCTATTTTTAGGTGCCAAATTCCAAATTTCAAGCGCCGTGGAAAATTCGCACGCGATTGTTTTATCGCTTCATCTGGTAATGATAAAAGAGCACTATATCAAATTTTTTTTATGATTTTTTACTGAAATGGAAAAAAATTATGAAAATAGATTTAAAAGTGAGGAAATGCACCACCTGATGACGTTATCTTGCGGTGCTTCCCATTTGGACTACATGTTTGCAATTTGGAACTATAAATTTTAGAGCCCGGTTTAAAAACAACATATGTGCCATTAGTTTCCCTATGCACATAAGCGTTTTTCCAGAAGAGCCAGAATTTATAGTTCCAAATTGCAAAATGCAGTCCATTTACACACGTGTATTTAAGCAGATTCGATCATTTTGTCATATCTCCTCTAATGATCGTTCAATTTATAAACCAGGAGTATCCTCGCGTTCAATGCATTCAGTGGTCTCCACTTACACACGAAATTAATCAAAATTAATACACCTGCAAATTCTCCTTTCGCACATGGCGTCCGGCGAAGTAGGATAACGGCAAGAAACATGTAAGGAGATTAAATTCGAACCTGAGGGTAGGTATTGGCCACGGACGTTGACTGCCTGGTGGGTTGCCGCAGCAATTATCCTCTTGACCAGATCCTCTGAAAGGTCATGTTTCGCGATGGTTAAGTGGTTGACGAAGCGGAGAAGATACTCTAAAGTGTATTGGCAGCTCTGCAAACAAGCAAGATGTATTGAAAAGAAGGTACCCGGTGATGAAACAGTAAAATTGACAATTGGAAACACCAAGGTCGAGTAAAAAAAAGGGAAATCTGGGAGGGAAAAGGCCTCATCTGTCTTCCTGAGGTGACCAAAGAATGTCTAGTTTGTAAGAATGTCAACTGATAATTGGATGGAAGTTCGCAAACGGGTCCGTCGTGCATTGCAGGCTCTGGCAAAAGACCTATGTGATGTTCAATGCTGTCGTGCTAAAAGAGGATGCCGTGTAAGCATTGACGCTGATAAATATGGTTTGATAAAAAACTAATTTTCCAGAAAAATTATCGACCGTGTAAGTCGGCAATCACAAATCTCAGTTTGCGACGTCGCATGACTTCCTATCGTACTTTATTTTTTAAACGGGAAACTACTCGACGGCATTTCCTTAAAACTGCCGTGATTTTTCATCTCTGTGTGAAGAAAATTATGCAAAAACTTCAAGGAGTGATGTCAATTTGTTCTCCTTTAAAAGAATAACAGAGGCGGAGATTTTTAGACACCGCAAACGAGTTATGCGATCGCCGACTTACACCGTCGTTGTGCATATTTCTCTTTAAATTACGGACGCAATTTTATTTAAATTTAAATACAATTTATTTGAATTCATCGCACCGGATCAGAAATTTTCAAGGGAAAGTTCATGATTTGGAAAATTTGTCAACGTTCGAATATTCATCCGAATGCCGAGGTAAAGCAGAATAGTCTAGAACTGCTAAAATATGAACTGTGAAACTGCAACAACGTGTAACTCGGTTATCGACGCAACAGAGTTCCTTTTTGACAATTGTTTAAAAACTACCCGGAATTGAAGTCAGAATTTCTCGGGAATCTAATAGAGTAATTACGAGCAGAACCATTGCAAAAGTTCTGGAAAAAAAAAAGTTTGACGAAGTTTTCAACAAAAGTGTCTTGATTTTCTGATTTTCATCATCGTCTAATTTCACAGAAAAAAGAGATGATCTTGGCCATTCAATGGAATCAAATGGAAGTGGTCAAATTAACTATGCACAGATATATTTGATTCGGAGGCCACGCTCCCTAGCCCCAACCCTTAGATATTTAATAATCATCTGAAGAAAGAGAGATTAGTTGGATTTTACGTATATAATTTTTTTTATCTTAGCTCAGTAGCGCCTACACGACTGTATGGATACTTCACGCATTGCGCATACGCTCCGTGATGTACGCGCAATGCGTGAAGTATCCTCCGTGTTGTACGCGCAATGCGTGAGGTATCCATGCAGTCTTGTAGGCACCGATGTGGGTTCGAACTAGCCGCGTTGTGCTCGGTTCTAATACTCGAACTTGCGAGGTCAGCTTTTTTCAACTCATGATTTTGAAATTTTCGTACACTTTACATGAATTGTTTAGGTTTATAATTGTTTCCATTCTTAGTCAGTAAGAATTTTCTTTTTTAACAAATAGTTTCACTCCATTTTTCCTATGTCTTGTTTGTCTCTCGCTTTTTCTTTAAATTTCATTAAACAGCTCGCAATTTCGCGCTTATTTTAGAGAAATAATGTAATATTTACCAGCGGGAAAGATTTAAATGCAGCTGCGGAATCTTTTTGTATGATAATGTTGACGATGTGGTCCTGCGTGAGGACAGGGGACCGGAGATGCTCCAACCATTCGAGAAGAAGGCTCGCTAGCACTTGGAAATCCGTTTCCCGTTGAATCTTCCGCCAGCTACCGTCCTCGTGGTTCAACTGCATCCGGAATTGGAGGACTTTCTTCCGGATTTCCTCTCGCACTGAACTTAGGTCCCTCAGAAACGCCTCCACGGTTTTGTCGATGCACTCCTGAGGACTCAAAGAAAATCCATCTATGAAGTCGGAAAATGTCTAAGTCTCAAAGCGACGCGTCGAGTCGATGGGAGAGGTAGCACATTAATTTTTTGACTATAATTCTTAACTTTGATGCTTAATTCGTCACACTATAAATTGTAAGGGGACCCTTTAATCGAAAATTTCACGAGGAAAACAATGGCACCAATTCTAAAATCTCAAAATTTTGTATAAACGGAGTTACGAGCGCTTAAAGTTTCCAAATTTTGTCCGACTTCTCCCATTGGCTCGTTCCATTGTCCGACGGTGCAAATCTCCACTCGCAATTCACCGTCGGAACCATACAACTCGAGCCAGAACGCCAAGAAACGCCGTATAAACATTTTGAGAGGGGTCAAATTTTCCCCGTTAAAATATTTCTTTTCGATGAAAGTTATGAATATTTTCTCTTGACATTTTCAGATACTGTGGATTAAATCGCAAATCAAAATCTCTGAAGAACCGAAAGCAAAATGTTCCCAAGCTCTCCAGAGTATCCGTGTTTTCCAAAAAGGAAAGTTGGTGATGTCTAAAGGTTCATGCGGTATCTTTCCTTGGCTCGGCATTATCGAGGAGCCTGAGGGGGTGGGGCATACCCTCCTAGAATGTGTAAGGCATTTTGCTGGACGAGTGCGTTATTCTTTTAAATTGCGTTTCAATCAACTTTTCAATAAAAACAAGAAAAAACTGCTCTTAAAAATACTAATTTTTTAACATTGGATCCCCTTGGAGCTGAGAAAGTCCGTCCAAATTCTTCGAGGGCTCGTGAAGTACCCTCGACCCGTCTCGGTAAGGTGTGTTCTTCTGCCGTGCTAAGGAAAAACGCCGTATGAACCTTCAGGCGTTGCCAAATTTCCTTTGATAAAACACGAATTTCCTCGTAAATTTATGAATATTTTCCTTCCAATTTTTCAGATAATTTTGTTCAAAATTTCGCCTAAAATCCCTGAAAATTTCAAGGAAAAATATTCATATCTTTGCTTGAAAATAAACATTCAATTGAAGGAAATTTGGCAACTCTCGAATTTTCATACGGCGTTCTTCCTTAGCACGGCAGTTTTGTTTCTGTGCTCCCCCAGACTCCTCTTGATGACTGAGGAGATGCCGCTCTGTTTAATTCCTTAAAAATAAAACATAAATGCAGATTCTAAATGTTGTAAGGTAGGTGCGTGTTTTTTACTTGGCCATCGAAACAATATTCATGAAAGTCTCATAGATAACGTTATACATCTCGAAAATAGGATTACGAAAGAGAACAACGAAAAATTTGGGTACAAATTTCTGAGCCGCCAAAGTTTTTAGTCGACATAATTATGCTCATGTTCAATAAAAAATTCAATGAAAAAAACCTTGATTAATGAAATGTTTTACAGCAAAAAATACTGACGACAACGGCTGAGTGGCCCAGTTCTGCCGTGCTAGGGAAGAACGCCGTATGAACATTCGAGAGTTGTCAAATTTCCTCCGATAGAATGTTTATTTTTGAGAAAAGCTATGAATAATTTTCCATGAAATTGTCAGGAACTTTAGGTGAAATTGCGAACAAAATTATCTGAACAATCGGAGAGAAGATACTGACAAATTTTCCCAAAAATTTGTGATTTACCAAAGGAAATTTGGCAACCCCAGAAGGTTCATACGGCGTTCTTCCTTAACACGGCAGAGTTGTTATCCAGTCGTCAGTAAAGTGCGTGTATGCCATCTTTTTTATTTGGCTGGCGAATGATGCGCCTACCCACCTTTGTCAATTTTGATCATAAGTTTCTGCTGTCCCCATATGAACGAAAAGTGGAAACTCCAAGGGAACATTTTCTAAACCTAGAAGCTATTTTTGGACCAGCGAAAGATCCGTACCAAGAACTCATTTCATGTTCACCGTACGTACAGTGTGAGAGTCTTATTTTTTACCCTTGAACATGTTTCAAAGCTCACTCACCGTCATTCCACAAGAGTGAAGACCCCATTCATGATTCATGTAAGCAACTTTGAAAATGTGCGTCATTGCAGTACGATTTGTCCTCAGCCCTTCTATCTTTTTGAATACTTTAGAACGTATTGTCCTCCAGAAAAAGGAGATTGAGGAAAAAGATTCTCATGGCAAGCGAGTGTACTTTCCTCCTCTTTCGAAACGATTCCAGAAAAAGGAACGTAAAAACTGTGGAAATTAATGCGTAGAGCGTACAGGGTGTCTTACCCACCCATACTAGGCTTTTTACTTGGTTGTTTCATGTCGGGCGAAGTCGAGAACCGGGGAAAGATAAGGAAAATAATCCAAAGGAATCCGCAGTTCATCATCTCGAGGTACGTCTCGTTCCAGCTAAAAGGGAGGTCATAACTTTAAAAATCGAGGTCTCCGTCACAATTTGGTCGTAATTTCATTTAAATCTGAAAGTAAAATACATTTTAACCCAAAGCGAGTTCCTAAAGTTAAAAATTTGCCCAAATCCGTCCGAGATAATGCCCTCTAAAGTTGGGGGACAGTGCCCTCATACTAAACTGCTTGATTTCTAAATTTACGTGAAGGCCTGAAAAAAAGGATTTTCCGCGTGTATTTGATCCCGAGGAATTCGAATCTAACAGTCATCGAAGCCGCGCATCGCGCGTAGCTACGTTAATGAAGCACTGAACTAACCATGGACTCGCAACATTCATAAGTTGATGGTCCCCCTTTATCTCATGAGCGGTGTCGTGGAGTGATGTGGCGTGGGGCTGTCACATTTGGACTAGGCAACAAGGCGACGAGGGGTTTTAAGATCGTCAAATAATTTGGATTCCTCGGAGCAAATACCCATGATAAAACCTTTTTGTCAGGCCTCATCATTAATTAAGTAACCCAGCAGTTTACGAAGGGGGGAGGGGCTCTACCCCCCAAATCTAGAGTACAGTATCTCAGACAGAGGTGGAGCAAGTCCAGGCTCTTTGGTGGCGATCTAATGAAACATTGTTTGTACTTTCTGATTTTGATGAAATTATTTCAAAATTGAGACGAAAATCCCAATTTTTAAGGTCAGGACCCCTCCCTCTTTTAGCTCCCACACAGGGGCGGACCAGAGGAACTTCAAGATGGTGAAATTCAAATTAATTTTGAGTCAATATCTTACTTGTCTTCGTGGACCTCGACCTCGTCCGACCTAAAATAACCGAGCAAAAGCTTGGCACGGGTGATCTGGGACACCCTGTATGATTCTGACGAAAGTGGAAAAATTCTCAACTTTGACTGTGAAGTCTCATCCCAACTAATGGAAGCCAACACCGAAGACCTGAAACAATTTGCGTGGAAAAGCCATGGAAAAATCCATCAACTAGTGCCCCCCTTTTTTCTGCAGATTTATACTCAAGTGCATGGTAGCCCTGAAACCCAACAAAAACTGCCAGACTTACAAAAAGAAAAAAAAAACGATTATTTCCAACAATCTTTGGGCTTACGTTCCACACAGTATAAAAAGGTGCTAAGGTAGTGGATAGCTAGCATTACTTCACCTTACTTCGACCGACAGACTGTACATATGAGTGCGAGATTTTGTTGTGTAGCATTATTATTTAGACGTGAAACGTGATTTGATTTTTGTTCACTCAACACGCGACTTGATGGGAGGAGGAATTGTGGTGACGAGTTTGATACTCATTGGCATCTGGTGTATTTCGGCTAACTTAATGGTATTTTTAAATACATTTATGTTGGAGCTAAAAGCGACGTGTTTCAATGAGTGTTTCGAAATTTCTATCGTATAAATAAATTTTTAAAACAAATCACACGATGTTTTTCGGTTACATTCATAGCGAGATATCTACAATTAAGTGTTTTCAAATATGGGGGATGTAGGTATTAGATATTATACAATCTGATTTTTCATATGAATATGATTGTTGTGAATGTCGCCTATACATACCGATTGAAGGAATACGTCTCTTTATTGCAATAAAATTGAAATAAGTTGTAATTCTTTATTGTATCGCAAATTGCCTATCCTTCGAACATATGGAAATCATATCTATGATTGTTTAAAGTCGGTATTTATTTAAGATGTAAAAATATTTCAATATCATATGGATAACATTTAAAATTGATTATCATAACGCGATTTTATTTCAATCTCTTTACTGCGTCACCGTGCTACTTGGGTGATCTTCCTTGTAAACGTATTTTTATATGGTTTTATTTTTTTATATGGCGTCGATTGAAACGTCAACTTGGCGTTTGGACAAATTAAACTCCTCTTTTTCGCACCAAGAAGTTTCAATCGCCGAATACGATTTTCGAATCAACCTTTTTGTGAGGCTGACTTAAAAAAAGAAAGAATGAAGTTTTCATCTTGACCCATGGGGAAAGTTTCAAAAAGTGTCTCTTTTCCAGTTTGTAGGGGCTGGAGTAACCGTCGAGGTGAACAAGAGAGGTGACCACTTTAAGTACATGGATGACAGTTTTAAAATGGACGCAAACCCAACTTTTCTAATCTCCTCTAAAAGCTTCGGACGAAATTCGCCGACTTTAAACACATTGACGGCAAGAATTGGCTCATCGAGAATCTTGAATGCTGCAGAGTCTCTGGACAAACCTTATCCAAACACATCTGAACATGATTTGCCTGGAAAAATTCAACGGAGAATTGTTGTCCTGAGGAATCCAATCTATGAAATGCCGGAAAAATATGCTGAAGAACTTGCACCGATTGAAACAAACTCGTTGGCGACCAGAGAGGCTCCTTCGAGTATTTGGCAGACACTGATAAACATTCTCATCGGTAAGAATGAGGATAGTGACCAAACGGGTACCTTGAAGTTTTCCACCTATGTCTATATTTATAACTGTTTATGGAGCAGGAGAATTTTTCGTTATGAGAGGGAGTTTGGTAAAAAAAGAGAGGAGCCTTAAGGGAACCGTCCCTATACTACGTGACGCTAAATTTGCGGGTTTTTACCCCCCACCCCCCACCCTTGTAACGCTCCGTAACGCTCCGTAACGCTGTGTTAAACCCTGAAAAATCACGTAACGCTTGCCCGGACCCCCCTCCCCTTTTAAAAAAGAAATAATCTAAAATATCACCCTACATTCACAGTGCGGATTGGCGTTTCTATTTAGTGAGGATAAATGAAAGTATCACAGAGAATATTTCCGGAATTCTTTAAAACTTTCAAAGACGACCGACGAAAATTTCTACAGAAACTCGGAACAAAATCTCTTGAACTCGTTGCGTAACTTTCCTCTCTATTCCCCCCTCCTCCCCTCCCTCTCCCCCCCCCATTTGGGATGAGAGTAACGTAATTTAGGGGCATAAATCTCGCACAGAGTAAAAACAACTTAAACATTTTGAGTGAGGGGAAAGTTACTTTTAACAGTTTGACCGTATCATACGAACGATTAATTTCATCCTAACCTGAAAAAAGATAGGAAATATCGCGGTAACAAGTCAGCTTAAAATAATGATTCATTATGCCTTTAAGAAATAAAATGTTAATCGATTTTATTTTTGTTCGAGTGAAATTTTAACGCAAGAATGAGTCAAATTAGCCAAAATTTCGATGATGAAACTGTCGAGAAAAGCATGGCCACTGAAGTATAAATTTAATGTCACATTCTACTGCTTTCAGTGATGATCATCATCTGCGACCATCAATATTGCAAGGAGTTTCTTGTAATATATATTTGAATGTTTAAGAATATCCTCCAATTTATCTTAATATATTTAATGTGTACTCTTTGAAAAAATAAAATAATTTTTAAAGATAATTGGACGTATTTCCATCAGAAGGAACCATGTGCAGAGGGAAAGATGGGGTGTGCTCGTTAGTGCTAGGGCCATAAGAATGGATGGGAAATATAAAGCGCCAGTGACGTAGCCGTCGCTGCGGTCACTGCTCGACTGCATTAACTCATGAGCCCTGGCCACAACGCTCTAAGCATATCCCATGGCTCATATAGTTTGCACATAGTTCCGTTTGACAGAACCTAAAATCGCGCTGTTCCAATTCAGCAAACGGAATTGTGAGCCAGTTGAAAGCGGCACCCATGAGCCATGGGCAATTGGGCATGTGCCTAGAGCGTTGTGGCCAGGGCTCATGCGTCAATGCAGCCGAGTAACGACCGCAACGGCGACTACGTCACTGGCGCTTTATATTTCCCATTCATTCTTACGGCCCGAGCACTAACGAGCACATCCCATCTTCCCCCTGCACATAGTTCTCTTTGACAGAATCAGTTAGTTAGTTAGTATAATTTTAAGACATTCAGCGTCTCAGGCTATTAACGTATTTACAGATAATTTTGAAAATGGGAGTATACGTCCTATTTTGAAACATAAAAGATACATACACCTGTTTTTTCTGGTTTTACCGTTGCCACGCAATTGAGCGCCCTAATCTTAGATCATGCGGAATCTGCAACTAGCTCTATCTGCCAAGCAAATTTTATAACCGAGGAATCGAAGGCGCTTTAAATTTTTCAAACCTTACACTTGCTCATTCCAACGAAAACTCTATAATCAGTTTCTAGAAGTTCTTTAAAATGATGGCACTGTAATACCAGTGTCTCCCATAGCTCTTGCTCAATAAAGAAGTAGACATTTCATTTAATTATAGAATAGAACGTATAGAATCGTACCTGATTCGGTTCACCGGCGTACTTGTACTCCTCTTCGGAGTTCCGAAGAAATGTTGAGATTTTTTTTTCTTCACCTTTCTTTTCAGTCGAGGTCTCTTTTTCATCTACCTCTTCTTCTTCAGGCACCTCCTCAACGACTTCCATCGCTGCAAAATCAGTGATTTTTACAGCCCAAAACCATTTTCACAGTATATTCGGAGAAAATATGAGAAGGAAATTTTTAATAAAATTAGTGGTAAACTAACTATTTTTTAGCTATAAACAGAGCTCGTATTTTCCTATGCATTGGTAAATTTTGAAATGAATTTCAATCTTCGTCATTCACATTGTTCCTTTGCTCCTCAGAGAAGTGACGATTAGAAACGAGCCTATAAAGATACATTGTGTAAAAGTGGAATATGTTTGAATGGGTAAAATTTCGAAGTTTTGAGGTCATCATAGGAATTTAGAGAACTAAAAAAAGGGATTACCTACCAATAAAGAGGAGATTTAATTTAAATATGGGTATACAAGGCTAAAACATTATTAAAACACTAAAAGGTAGAAATGTCTTGATTTCTTGTGAATATCTTGTAAAAGGACGTCTGTCATTCTTAGTATGTTGGAGCGCCTTCAATTTCGTATGATACTGTGCAACACCACTGTGCTGAAATAGTTGCTTTAGGCATCGGGGCACGCTGCGGCGCGGCGAGCGACTGGCCAGCGCATTGGCGCCTACAAACCTAAGTGAATACTTCAAGCATTGCGCAATGCGTGAAGTATCCCCTTAGGTTTGTAGGGACCAGTGCGCTTTACGCGCTGGTAGCACGCCGCTCCTGTCTGGTTCTAATATTTAAACTCGCGGAGTCAGCATTTTTCAGCTCACGATTTTGAAATGTTTGTACACTCTGCATGGGTTGTCCTCATTTAAATTGATCAATTTTAATTGGACGTATTTCTGTCAAACGGAACTAAGCGCCAAATTGAGTTCCTTTTGAAGATTTTAGAATCCCGGATAGCGCGTTCTGTCAAACGGACCTAAGCGCCACGGAAAAGCATTGCGAGTATAGGAGGATCGAGCATAGCATTCCGCAACACCCGCCAATCCAAGCCCCCCTCTCCTTTCCTCCCCCTATGGCGCTTAGGTCCGTTTGATAGAAATACGTCCAATTGGCGTCCTTTGACAAGATATTCACAAGACATCAAGACATTTCTGCCTTTTAGTGTTTTAATAATTTTTTAGCCTTGTTTACCCATATTTTAATTAAATCTCCTCTTTATTCGTATATTCGGGCTATGTTTTTGTGCTTTATCCTATCAATAAACTGAGGCCTAAAATGAATTGGATTTAAAAAAATAAAAATTAAAACGATAAATAAATAAAATCATGGCCTCTTTTAAACCCATTCATAGAAGAATCGATTCCTCCCTGCTAAAAATGACAAGTAGGCTATTCAGAATTCGCCAACTCACATGAGTAGAACTTCCTTCTTATATGAGTAGATATCTTACTTATATGAGAAGAAATTCTACTCATACCACTAGAATATTCTACTTATAAGAGAAGAAAACTTCAACTCATACGAATTCAATTTTTTTCATTTTTCAGAAGTGCTGTTTCTGACCAGGGGACACTGACATAGTATGTAAATTAGAAAAATAAAAACATTTCGTTTTCATGATTTTTTCGATGCGGTGACTAGTTTCTGAGATTTTGGACACGGTCGATTCAACGCTGAACTCATGTGAGTTGAAATCTCTGGTCATATATGAGTTCGAATCTCTAGTCATGGAAGTTGGCGAAAACTGCATAGAGAAATTCTGCTCATATGAGTCAAATTCTGTTCATATGAGTTGAAATTCTATTCATATGACTTTGATTTTCTCCTCATTTGTACTCACCATTTTCAGCAGGGGAGAAATAGTTAAACATTTTTGTGGCGCACGACTAAAGCAGTCAACAGTGCAGCGGGCTGATCATTGAAATTAATAGAACGTATTTATGCCAAAAGGAACTATGTCTCACGCAAACCCTATGCACATAGATCCTTTTAGCATAAATACGTCCAACAGACGAAGCTATATACAAAGAAGACGATAGGAAAATGAAGCTATCCTCTCGGTCAAAACGGGTGGTAGTTATACAAAACTAGGGGGAAAATGATGGACTAACCATATAGGGTCTCGTGGATTGCCGTCAGTTACTCATCTCCTTTGTCCACTGTCCAGTGCATCTGTCGCAGGCAAAAAGTCAAATCAGGCATTTTGTCAAATGCCTAGGCAAATAGTCAAACATTCTAGCTAAGATTGAAATTCTGTTTCTTTTCCTAATTTTAGACAAAATAATTAATTAACCCCGAGAGAAAAAATTCTCAGTAATTTGCATCACAAAATAGTATTTCAAACGATTTTTGGCTCCTGAGTAGACACTTATCTTGAACTTTTCAGCATGTCAAAGAATACAGTATTTTTAGGATTTCAACATTAAAAAATATGAGAAGCAATTTAAGAGGAAGAGACAAAAAGAGTTTGTAGGTTTGATGAGATATTTTTCCACAAATATTGAAAACTCGTGAGCTCTTCGCCATAAATTCACAAAATTTTGTTGGCATTCAAAATTTAGCTATTTGCCTAGGCATTTGACAAAATGCCTGATTTCACTATTTGCCTGCGACACATCCACCCGCTTCCACCAATGGGATGGCTACAATTCCTCTTCGTCTTCTCTCAATCAGTCTCAATGAGTAGCCCGCAGTGAGTTCGAGATTTCATGAGCAGCACCTCCGAGTAAATCGTCGCTCCTCTGACGCAATGGCGTATCTCGCTTTCCACGTTAGCCCTGCTCCCCGTAAAACTCTTTGCTTTCCGGGGCTGATGTGGAATTAGAGGCATGGCCGATTTTAGGGGATGGCTACGGGCTACATGGGCCGCGGCCCATGGTGGCAAATTTTGCAATTTTTTTTAATGTAGGTATAAAAATAACGGATTCAGAAAATAAAATACGAACGAGAAAAGGCGACGAAATTTCTCATTTCCTGCATTAATAGTAATTTCTAATTTTGTCGTTTTTCGGCGATACAAGAGACAGCACCTTTAATTAGTCGAGTTGAGAGAGAGACCAATCACGCAATTTGGCTTGGTGCGGCGCGGCGCATAGAGAGCAATGATGACAAAGACTTGAGATAAGATGGAGAAGCCCTCGGCGCAGCGGTCCGGCATGTAACATACATTAGCGCCTACAAGACAGCATGAATACTTCACGCATTGCGTCAAATACAGTGCGTTCAGCAGCGGTCGGCGTGAAACGCATGGCACCTACAAGACCGTAGGAATACTTCACGCATTGCGCCAAAACACAGTCCGGTCAGCGCGGCGCGGCGGCAGAAGTTAAAATTATTAAACCACATATATGTTTGTTCTTTCATAATTTTTTTGCTCATTTCTCATAAATGGAAGGCCTTCCCCACACAGAGATAGGTTTATGGAACTTAATTTGATGAAATTTGATTTAATTTGATTCTGATTGAAAGTTCCGTGAACTCGTGCTAGTAGTGTTGACAGGGTTTTTGCAAAAAATGTGTCCAACACGAGTAAACGCGTCTTATGCACCTCTCCCCCTCCGGCACGTTTACCTGATGGTTTTTATTGATGTTTCAAAACGAATGAGAAGGGGATGGCAAAATACAGGCGGCCCATGGGCGGCAAGTGGGTGAATCCGGTCCTGATTAGAGATACGCCCTTAAGTCAGAGGAGCCACGAAATATGAGGGGAGAAGGTCTTCGGCGTATGTAATGTACATACCATTCTTAGACGTCTCGTGGAGCGTTCCAGCAGACTGGGATTCCGGAAATGAGACTTTCAGCTTGGGCTGAACGCTTTCAGAGGCCAGGAAAGTCCGCAAAACTGGTATCGCTACAAATCCGCTATTCCGAATCAAGATCAAACTGACTGGCTTGCACGAACAAAGCATTAATAACCGCTCACAAATCATCAGCACAATCTGAAAAAATGCATTGAAAGTAATTAAGCATTTTAAGACAACAAAGCTAGGCACATGCAAAACCCGATTACGGCAGGCTTAGGAGTAATAGCAATCGCTGAAAGGGATGGAGGGTTCATCCTTTCCCCTTCTTTTGTAACGCTTCAATTGATAAAGTTGTAGAATGCGCACCTCGCCAGTTGTAACATTTCAAATTTCTATTCATCTTTTCATTTTCTTCAAAAAGAGCCGATCAATAGTTTCTCTCGAAATTTTCTGCAAATTTTCGTCATTCTTATAAACATATTCACAATAAATTTCAAGGAGATTTCGACGATTTTTCTTTAAAAATGAACCATTTTTTAACGTTGCGATGGAAATGCGCATTTTTCGACCGTGGCCTCTCGCTTTATTTCGATTTGATCATCGTTAGGTATCATGAATATTTTAAGATGCTAGGATTATAAAATGAAAAATAAATTGAAAATTTGCAGAAATTTAGCACTCGATTTTTGTGAGTTTGGGAAGCCTTCTAAATAAAACAAGGTATTTCGCGTTCTGTTCGAAGAGCCGAAAATGAAGCCGAGCCGTTTTCCGTAACAGTTTCTTGTCCAAAGCAGTGTTGACGATACCAACCTCTGGCTGCATCTATTCATTCCTCATGGATTTGTACGTTGCATGCATAAAGATAAAATTGAAGCCGTTCTGTTTCTTCTTCCTTTTTTCCTTGCCTTCACAACATAGAGTAGAAATGAACAAAAAGGATGGTTATCGTGCACTTTCAGAATTCAAGTAAGTCCGCCAGATAGAGAGTTTAGTGACAACAAATATCGAGTCATACCTTTGGGATATGGTGCAGGCACCGAGATTCTTGACCGTGAAGCATCATTTTTTGAAGTAACACGTATTGTGGCAGTGAGAAATCAGGTGTAGAGCTGCTTCTGGTCGGACCACTGTCATGACAAAAAAAAAAAAAAAAAAAAAAAAAAAAAAAAAAAAAAAAAAAAAAAAAAAAAAAAATAAGAAAGGTTAAAAAGGAAGATTGAAAGACTCCAGAAAAATGAAAAGAAAAGAATAAAAACTCGGAAAAGAAGAAAATCGAAGATTATGATTTAACTATCGGAAAGGTATTTATTAAATGTTTGGGGTAAAAGTTGAGAAATTTAGAGATTTTGAATATAGAGATAATTCGAGTCCCCAGTTTTATAACCGTTCGCTAATTTAGTTACACACGAAGGAATCGATTTGTACAATCGTACACCCACATGGTAATCACCGCGATGAGACAGCTTAGGTACATTGACGGTAAATACAACACAAAACGAAGGTTATCAAAACAAAATCCCAGTAGCAGCATTGGGGGATCCAGCAAATTGGCATCATCGTTTTTATCCATTTAAATCTATGGAAATGTATTGTTCTTGGAGGGGCCAGATGCTCCGACAAGGATCGATTATTTAATATAGGTTTAAATTGAGGGAATCCGGTGTTGCAAAATTGCTGGATTCGACTCTCAGTGGCTATAAGTTGCGATCTGATCGGAGAATGTTTCGCGATTTTATCAAAGTGCGCAAGCTCTCAAAAAAAAAAAAAAAAAAAAAGTCGATTTATTGCGACATTATGGGATAAAAAACTGCGATTCATCGCATAAATTTTCAATAAAATGGCGATTTTATTGACGGCGCGGCGATCCAGCGCAAAATTGCCAAAAAAAATTGTGATTAATTGAAATAAAATTTCGATTTTATAGAGATAAAACGGCGACAAGATCAAGGATAATCGCTCAGATATTGATGATCCTAGCGATTTTCAAAAATCTTAAAAAAATCGTGACTTGGTTTCAAAATATCGGGATTTTTTTCGTTGAAAAATGCTGTTTGAGATATTGCCGAAACCCAAAATAACAAAAATTGTGATAAAGTTGTTACTTTGACGATGCTGATTTTTGACAAAATTGAGGTTAACGAACATGAAATCGCGATGGAATGACAAAAATATTTGGTGAGAAAGGGTCCACAATAAAATCTGATGGAATCGCTCGAATGATGATAGAATCTTAGCGACTGTATCCCGATGAATGGTAAATGATGTCCCATCTGTATTTCATAAAATCGTAAATCTCCTGTTGAAAGTCTTACTCGGAGAGAAGTAAACATTCTTCATTGAAAAGTTAAGTGATCCGCCTGTGAGATTAGCTTTAGTCGATTATTACGATGACTTTGCTGCCGTGCAACCGCGAAAACGCCGTAAACACCATTTAAATTTTTTTGGAAACAATTTATCATAGCAGTAAAACTTGTGTACCTCGAGGCAATGTTTTTACAGAATTGGTTTGGAAATACTATCAAGAACCTAACCTGAATTTTTTTTTCTGCTGGTTTGAGGGCTTTGTTTCCAGCACCTTCAGCCAACTTTAGACAATGTTTAGTGTCCGTAGACATCGTGGGATCTCCATGCTCCAGGCTTTTCCAATTTTCAGGGATAAGGGCCGAGGAGAATCTGTTTCAGCAGATCTACTCATCAATTCCGTGAAAATTAGACGCCACCACCGGGATTTGAACCCGGGACCTATTGACCTGGAGTCAGACGCGCTGACCACAATAGGCCAACCTGGCCGGCAACTTGAAAATTTGAGGTGCACGGGTAAAACAGTTTTCATTTCATAAAGTGTTAAGTTCCAAGAAACGCAGATAATTCTTGATGGATTTACGGCGTTCTTGCTTAGCACGACAGTAGGAGCTCTTACTTTTTTGAGAAGATGATGCTATTTGGGAGGATGTACTGTTCGAACTCCTGGACACTTTGAATTTGACCTCTAGTTTGGATTGATTGCGGTCGTTTCAGACGGACGAACCGGATGGCGTCGTTCGCTTTTAACCTGACCGCATAAACTAGGTAACACGCGATGAGAACACCTGTCCGACCAAGACCTGAAAATTGAAAAAAGGTGCGCCATGTACCATTCTTTTCATTACCATCCCCTAAGTATTACCAAAGAATACGACCCTATGTAACACATATCGACGGCATTACTATCGTGCTAAGGAAAAACACCGTATGAGCCTACAGGCGTTGACAACTCCTGGCAAATAACTAATTTCCGGGAAAATTTTTAAATATTGGTCTACCAATTTCTAAGATAATTTTGTTTGTAATTTGATCTAAAACTTCTGGAAAATTTTAAAGAAAAATATTTGTAAATTTCCTCAAAAATAAACATTTTATCGAAGGAAATTCGGCAACTCTCGAATGTTTATACGGCGCTCTTAATTAGCACGGCAGATTAGCGGATCCAGCAAATTGGCAACATTGTTTTTTTCCCTTTAAGCCTATGGAAATGTATCGATTCTTGGAGGGCCAGGTGCTCCGACGAGAATCGATTATTTAGCATAGGTCTAAGTGGAGGGAATCCGGTGTTGCCAAATTGCTGGATCCACCTCTGATCGACGGTGAAATTAGTACCTAGACTGCATATCTCGGTTTGCGATTTTGTAGACTTCCTGTCATACTTTATATTTCAAATGGGAAACTACTTAACGTCAATTCTTGAAAACTTCCGTGCGTTTTCCTATCCATGTGAGGAAACCTATGTGAAAATTTAAAAAAATGAAATTGATTTGTTTTCCTCCAAGAAAATAAAATGGGAGCGCGAAGATTTTTAAACACCGCAAACAAGATACGTGGTCTGGTAGTTTCACCGTCCACATACGGTACCAGATCTAAACTATTAAACTTAAGTATTTTCTTAATGTAGTTGTGCCCATTTGCACACATTCAAACCAAATAAAAACTTCCACATCTCGCATCCGAATAATTTTTTGCAACTATTAGGTTCTCTACATTTATTATAGTCAAGCTTTTTTCTCGTTTGCTGAATGAGCAATCGGGCAAAGTTTTCTGAACTCTACAAGAACATACTCAGAGAATCAATCTGGGATAATTTTATTTTGGAAGAGATAACATATATTCATTACTAAAGAATATTCGTGTTTGTTGAGTAGATCAGAGCATATGGATAAAGAGGAAACTGATCAGAAATAGTCTTGGATCAACTTCAAATTCGTGATGAGATTTAGCTGTAATAAAAAAGTACAATCAAAAACTATTCTAGGGACCAGAGTGATGGTTTAATTCTAGGTTTGAAAGTATATTTATAGAAAGATTCTTTATGAGAGGTACTTATCCCATATAAAAGAGAACATATTTTCTTACCAGCATGGCAGTGGATTGCAACTTTTCCTTCTGTCAGAGCGAAACTTAAAACTTTGACCATATCAAGTAAGCTTGATGATTCCATAACGCCGTAGTCTTCCCATTCATAGTTATAGAAATAAACTGGATCCGTCAAACACAATGTTCATGAAGCATAACCAGGAAAAAGAAGGAAAAACGAACAGTTTTAATTAAAACTGCATTTTAATTTTTCGCTCCTAGTCCCAGGTCTCATTGGGACACACCATGGTGGGATTATTTAAAACCTCGTGCTCCTAGTATAATCTTCATTCATTTATCTAGTTTTTTGTTTTCTTCCTTTCCCAAAGGAATATAATCAAAGTTATTAGCCTTTACATTTTAGACGCAAACGCAAGCTGATAATAATACTGATTGTCACTTGGTGCGTTTCGACGCTTTGTCAACTCTTCGGGCCCGTTAACTTCAAGGGCTATTAATTTCGGATTTTGTTCATTCGGAGGTTCCTGCTCATACTTCTTTTTCCCTTTCCAAGGAAAACCTATAAATAGATTGGAATTAAACGTTAAAACAATATTTTTTGTCATTTCTCTGGAAAATTACGGCAGACTTTCAAGTGTTTAATATTCGTTTACTCGTACATAATTGGCGGTGCAAAAGTTGCATCGTCGCTAATTGAGGTATGCATGTTTCTCACCTAACCGTCCGTGGTTAGGAAATGTGTATAACTGCGCAGTCTAATATACTTAAGCGGCAATCGTGATCTTCTGTCCCCCATCGAGTGGAAGCGACACTGTAGAAGGCGCTATGAGCAACTATTTCACCACAGAGGTATTGCACAGTATCATTTGAAAATGAAGGCGCACTGACGTTTGTAAATTGACTGGTGGGTATCTTTTACCATTGTGTAGAGTCTTACGGATCGTGCGCAGTCTATACGTGAGATACATCTCTAAAAACAAAGGAGCTCAGCTCAGTTCATACTTTTAAATATTTAGGAGACAAATTTGGAAATATTGAGCTCCTCATCTTTCTGGCTAGATGCCACGACGTATTAGCAACGTTTACTCACTTTTATTTTTCATGAAGATTGATGGGTCGTACGTGAAGCCAGCCTTCTCCAGGGGACACCCGCAACTTCCATGTTCGCCCACTTTTTGTAAATTTACGATCGATCGAATCCCTATGCTGCTAGAATTTGATGAAGACCATATTTATTATGAAACAACCTGCAGAAAAGTATTCTATTTCATTGCATGGAAAACAACTTCTGGACTATAGTTATCTCGAAATAATGGACCATATGGTGGGGGCGAAAATTAGACATCTGAGGAGCTTGAGTCTTCATCAAAATTTCACACAGGACACGTTAGGCATATAAAAAATCCTGAAATTGAACTGAGAAACAAGCTTACGGTAGTAGCACACATATTGAAATGAAAAATTCAAACCACCCGCTTGTCAAAAAAACACAAGAAACGCTGGTCAAAGTAGCCATTAAAAACAATGTATTTATCAGGCAAACAACTAGAGCATTGTTTCACTCTAGCGTAATTTATTTCTTTACTTTTCTGATACAAGGCAGCTCTGATTCTGTCGAAGAAAATCCAGCGGGCCAATCCGGTAGGCTTCAAGTCTCATCGATGATATCTGAGGTGGTTCGTATTGTAAACATATCGATGGTGAAATTACAGAAGTGCAGTCTGGAAAAGACAATTTTCTAGGAGGGTAAAAAAACAGTCTCCATTCCTCTTTATTGTTCATAGAAGGGTAATAATTCTTGAGGATAGCAAGAATAATACATTTTATCAGACTCCATCAGCATTTTGAATAATTTCTCGGACTGTCAGAAAATCAAGCAAGTTGATGCAACAATTTGAGATTACATAAGGTTTTTTTTCGCTATACGCTATTTGGTCAAACAGGTCCTCATATGACCCCTGGATATCTAGTGAGCTAGACGCAAGTAATAAAAGGGGGACCACCAATTGAGGTGTGTTAAGCGCGCTTTATTTCTTTCCGATAAAAGGATAATGAATCCGCCGAAAAATATAAAATTATTTCATTTTGCAACATTCACACGTCACGATTGAATTTAAAAGCTTTAAAGTTGAGAAAAAATGTAGGATAAATATTTCAAGTGTAATGTCACGCATTGTTGAATCTGATCCCTCCTTTGTCCCCCGATCTCGCCATTCACTCGAGCTAAGCTTCTGGAGTCTATAGACCCCCCTCTCCTCTTACAGTGTGACTTCATTTATTGGCGGCTTTTGAGTGATTTAGGTCACTAGGAATATCTCGTACCTTTGAAATTGTTTGATGAGGTTCCTCTTCACGATGATTTCAGTGCACGGTCGAGCCATTGCGAGAATTTCGTCCGTCACCCTGAAAATATAATTGAACGTCACATGAAACGTCCTTTGCGTTATTTAAGTACATACATATATGTTTTTAATATATGTAGCTCCTCAATTTTTCTTCTTGGGTAGCATAATATTCGGTATTTTCAAGCTATAAAGTTGACTTGTTTTTCTTCGGAAAAATAAACGAGGAGGAAGATTTTGAAACATAGCAATTAAGATATTTGGTTTTGCAATTTGGCCACCGATATGGTTTACGTTGTGATTAAAACAAGTTTAAGGCGATACTTCTCACATCATCATGAAAAGGACAATTTGCACAACCTCAAATGAGATTCAAGGATGTAACTTGAAAATAAACCCTTGCAAGGGCTTTCAATGGTTTGTCTCTACAAAAAAATTTAAAAAATCTTTGATTTTAATACATTTTAAGGTAAATAATAAATGCATTTTTTTAAGATTTCTAGATAGGTACAAACCTATCTTAAAATTCTTAAAAAGCTGTAAAATGTGTTCTTCGTACTTTTAATTTTTGTAGAAAAAAATCATCGTAGTTTCTCTCACGAATTTATTCCCAACATTTCAATGCTAAATTTTACCAAAAATCCGTTAATTTTACCCTTTTGACGATGCTGCAATACGGATCAATTTAAACCTCCCTTAATCATGATTTAAACCATTTGGGGCCTCTTAAGGAAAGGAGTTGTTTAAGGAGTATTTATGAACACGGCCTTGAGTGTTCGGCCGAGATACCGTACAAAAATGTACGCTAGGTACATTTCTCCAAAAAGTGTTCCTTCCTCCTTCTCGTTATCCATTTAACAATCACCTGTAAGATCCCTCTACATTCACTCCTTTAAAAATGGAGTCTAGTTGAGCTGGCCACCTCCCCATTTTGAATAGATATTTTTGATATTTTTTTTTCGTGCGGCTTGTATGTTCTAGAATGTTCCTTGTGGACCTACCTTCCACAACCGAACCTCAATTCATTGTTTACAGTGGGCCAACTTTTGGGGCTCCGTAAATGCCTAAAACTCGCCGACAAATCAGAGAGCAGTATACTTCTCCTGTAGTTTGAGGGTTGAAAGGACAAAACTCTCCCGTATATAGGTACTCTAGAGACGGCTGTTCGACTGGGTTGTGAAAAATCGGTAAACACTCGTAGTGTGCGCGACTGCCAGCGCTACCTATCAGTGTAGATTGCATCAACACAGTCCAACTCGGTGGAGGCATGGCCGTGCTCCGAAAGTCCGTGCTCTGCAGCGTCTGCCACAGTCTTTGATAAGACCTTCCGTTGGCTATCAGACGGCCGCTGAGCCTTGCGGGAATATAGATGATACTCAATGTGTCAATAGTACGAAGTTATGTTAAGGAGTACGGTCCAACTTCGGGGTGCACGACGGCAGTTGCCAGTTGCCTTGGCCCCTTGAGGGCGCCTCGCCGGCCAGCCCGGCCTTACTTACTTACTTACTTACTCTAGAGACGGTCACAAATGGAGGCACTGACCAGTGGGAGTAGATTCCTCTGATGGCTTTGTGGGTGGAGTCCCAGACCTCCGGGTTCTCGTACTTGCAGCGGCGCCCACCGCAGAAGACGGCGCACTGGACGCCCTTGGGCGCGCGACGCCGGACGCTCTCCGAGAAGGCCGAGTAGTTTGCTTCGATCGTGATCCCTTGCAACGACTGCGCCACACTCGTCACCGCCGCCAACGATGTCCGTCGCTCTTTCACCATACCAGCTTTCGCTGGGCTCATTCTGATCCCAAAAATATACCGATTTTATCAGTGAGCAAGCAGCGGGCTCATTGTTGAAATCCATCGACAGAGCTACAGACAAAGAAGACATAGGGAGTACGGAGCGACCCTGTTGGTGGAAATGGGTGTTTGTTACAGACTAAGCGAGAAAATGATGGACTATTTGTAGGGTCTCTCGTGGGTTGCCGTTAGTTAGTCTATTGCCTACCTTCTTTGTTCATTGCAACCACCCGCTTCCACCAATAGGATCCCTCCAAATCCTTTTTGTCTTCTTCGTCTGTGTATTTGTCGATCAATCTCAACAATCAGCCCACAGGGGGTGGAAGGGGGCTGTACATTTTTTGAGAGAAAACCAACCACAGTATTTCTTTGAATTTTCGTGCAGGGCCGGATTATGGGGGTGGCCACAGGGGCCGCGGCCCTTTGCGGCAAAATGTAGGGGGCGGCAAATTTTGCAATCTTTTTGAATGTAAAAAGAGAGAAAAAAATCGGATTCAGAAAATAAATTACAAACAAGAAAAGACGACAAAATCTCTCATTTCCTCAGAGTGAAAGTATAGTAATTTCTAATTTTGTCGTCTCTCGGTGATACATGAGACAACACCTTCAATTAGTCGAGTTAGAGAAACAAAACACGCCATTTGACCTGGAACGGAGCGGCGCACACTGTGGTATTGGACCTGAAAAGCTGGCCAAAACTATTTATCACCAGATATCGCCGAGTTTTAAAAATATTTTACAATCAGTACTTCTTCTTAAGTGATAATATGCACAATTTAACCACTTAAGACATCATACGACAATTTGCGGAGAGTTTAAAGAGGGTGCAAGAAGCCCTCCAAAAAGCCTTTAAAAGGACGCAAAGTATCTAACTAAAGCGGTGCATTTAGACGAGTTTCTCCTTCACCTATGGTCTACTTTTTGAAATAAGGACTTTCTATTACCTCATTAATGGTTTTTTTTAAAAACAGCGTAAGTCACTTCAAAATTTTTGACCAAACAGCCGATCTCTCACATTGAGGAGTAATTGTACATTTCTCAAAACAATTAATATGAATCATTCTAGATATTAGATTTTTGACAGTTTTGAATCAAAATTAGTCCTAATATGAAAGTGCCGGGACCTCCATATGATGATTTGAGAATAAATTATAAGATGAAAATGAGTTTTATCATAATAAGAACCATTGTAAGGACAGAAAGCACCTGTGAAAAAGATTCATTTTGATGGGTTCCTTCCTAACCCATGGTCCCACATCTCAAAGTGAGGCACTTCACTAAGAAATTTGTAAGAAAACCACATATCTCACTTTTACGAGGCTTCAAGTGTGCCTCACAGCGTAATTTTATGGTGCCAGAGGGCCACTTTTAAGGCCCCATCCCCGGGGCCGCATGGACTCAAATTTGTCTGTCAAAGTAAATCATGGCATAAATATGTCTATACTCAAGGATAATGCACGAAGATATTGTTAGATAACGGATTAAGCACTTTTGCAAGACTTTAAAGTGACCCTCCCATCCGCTTTCAAATTATTTTTTTTAATCCCTCTTTCGAGGGCGTAGGGGCCAAAAAAACAGGTTGGGTGACCAAATATCACCCAATTGGTACTAAATGGGTCAGAGCTGTTGGAAAAATACAATTTCAGTCGTCATATCGACATAATTTTTCCCGTTCATTTTTGTGAAAATCGCTCAAAAGTCCATGTTTGAAGTCAAAAATTTCAATTTCCTCAGTTTTCCTCAGTCTGTCGACCCTGAATCCTGAAAATACCCACTTCGGACTATAACATTCCGCCTGAAACCGCTTGAGAGTAGTTGAGAGAAATTTTTAATCGGACTGTGAAATTCGAAAAAAACGTTTACTTTTACATCACTTTTCAACCTCCTGTGAAAATCACTAAAAAAGGAAATTTCGAAAATACTGTGGTTAGTTGTGTAGAATATACCCTTAAGAATGTGTTGCATATCGCCGAACTTCCCTCCCATGGTCGCACAGTTGAAGTAAACTGATCGACGAGTAGCGCGTCGAAACATATAAAAAAAATCGCTGAGAAATAGGTAACTTCGTGGTCTCTTCGCGGGAAATTGAGCCACTCGAAAAATGGCACATACATGGCTACTGGGGTAAAAAACGGTGTAGATTTCGAATATCACATTGGTTTTCCAAAAAAAAAAA